AGTTTTTTGGCTAATTTATTGTACCAATCCTCTTTTTATTGCACTCTTTATGCACTTTAAACAACTTTTTTTTTTTTTACCTATTCCTGGCATTTTAACCTTTCCTGGTTACTTTTAGTCCACTGGCAATTTTAAAGTTCCAGTACTCCGAGAAATCCTAGGTGGGGATCATACCACCAGCACCTATACATTGAGCAGTACCTCTGCTCTATCTTTGTGAGTATTATTTTATTTTCTCTACTACTCTCTTAACCTATCACAATTGAGAGCACTATTGCTGCTTTTTATTCTTCTATATTGGAGCCTTGGATCACCAGACGGTGCTGACGGACGTATCGCCGCTACATATCCTATAAGCGGGGATTATACCGCTGTACGCTATCCACACCAGAGCTGGCCATAGCTCCCTCAAATGTGAGTTTTTTACCTCTTCTTATCTGCACATTGAACCACATCAAAATTGAGAGCACTATTGTTGCTTTCTGTCTTTCTTTTCCGAGTTCTGGACTACCAGACGGTGTTGACGGAGACCCCCTCCCTACATATCCCATAAGCGGGGATTATACCACTGTACGCAATCCACACCAGAGCTGGCCATAGCTCTCTTGAATGTGAGTTCTTTACTTTTTGTTACCTATCACACCCTGAACTTTCATACTATACCATTAGTCGCCTCTACCTCTCTTGTATTTACATATACGGAACGGTCTACACTAGACGCATCCACAGAGGAACTCTATCAAGTATCCTAGACCATTTATTGGCACCCTAGCAATACTTTACTGGACTATCTACCCTTATTTGGCGCAGCCCTTCCATATCTTTTTGTATCTATCCACCGAAGGACCCGAGGGGTTTTCCTTCATTTGGGTTGCTGCCTACCTTGACTAATTTTGTGATTACTAGCACTGAATTCTTTTTGTGTTTATCTCAGCCCATAGCATCAATGCCTTCGTCTTGCAGGAACTGCTGACACACTCCAGCCACATGAGGTCTAGCATTGTCTTGCATTAGGAGGAACACGGGGCCAACAGCTCCAGCATATGGTCTCACAAGGGGTCTGAGGATCTCACCTCGGTACCTAATGGCAGTCAGGTTACCTCTGGCGAGCACATGGAGGGCTGTGCGGCCCCCAAAAGAAATGCCACCCCACACCATTACTGACCCACTGCCAAACAGGTCATGCTAGAGGATGTTGCAGGCAGCAGAACGTTCTCCACAGCATCTCCAGACTCTGTCACATCTATCACATGTGCTCAGTGTAAACCTGCTTTCATCTGTGAAGAGCACAGGGCGCCAGTGGCGAATTTGCCAATCTTTGTGTTCTCTGGCAAATGCCAAACGTCCTGCACGGTGTTGGGCTGTAAGCACAACCCCCACCTGTGGACGTCGGGCCCCCATACTACCCTCATGGAGTCTGTTTCTGACCATTTGAGCAGACACATACATGTTTTTGGCCTGCTGGAGGTTATTTTGCAGGGCTCTGGCAGTGCTCCTTCTGTTCCTCCTTGCACAAAAGCAGAGGTAGTGGTCCTGCTGCTGGGTTGTTGCCCTCCTACGGCCTCCTCCATGTCTCCTGATGTAATGGCCTGTCTCCTGGTAGCGCCTCAATGCTCTGGACACTACGCTGACAGACACAGCAAACCTTCTAGCCACAGCTCGCATTGATGTGCCATCCTGGATGAGCTGCACTACCTGAGCCACTTGTGTGGGTTGTAGACTCCGTCTCATGCTACCACTAGAGTGAAAGCACCGCCAGCATTTAAAAGTGACCAAAACATCAGCCAGGAAGCATAGGAACTGAGAAGCGGTCTGTGGTCACCACTTGCAGAACCACTCCTTTATTGGGGGTGTCTTGCTAATTGCCTATAATTTCCACCTGTTGTCTATCCCATTTGCACAACAGCATGTGAAATTGATTGTCACTCAGTGTTGCTTCCTAAGTGGACAGTTTGATTTCACAGAAGTGTGATTGTCTTGGAGTTACATTGTGTTGTTTCAGTGTTTCCCTTTATTTTTTTTGAGCAGTATATATATATATATATATATATATATAATTTAAAAAAGCCCCTAGTTTTTATTATTTATATTATATATACACACATACATATACATACACACACACAGACACACATACAGTAGTATACAAAGCCAGCACTCAAAGTTTCCTTAAAATAAATAATTTAATCCAGAGATTAATCCAAGAAAAAAAAACAAAAAAACCTTTATTTTAATTAGACAGGAACTAATTAAAATAAAGGTACAAATACCCCAACCTACCTCCTCCTCCCTCAGTCTTGTTATCAGCAATATCCCAGGATGGCATCTTTGTGCTGCCATTGCCTATATGGTTTCATTTTTTTTCTAGTCATATCCATGGCAGCACAACAATGGGTAATACACATGCAATAACCAAGGGAGGGAATAAAGGAAAACTCAGACTCCATATTATATAATGCATGTGTATTAGCACAATCAATCCAAAACGTGACAATCACTGCAAATAAGTCAAACTCATAAGTTAGATGCAGAAAGGACAGTTTTACCAAACTGATCAAACTGACCAGGCTTTATATCTGGAGACACTTTTGCCGCTGCTGCCCAGGATGAAGAGAGGGAGTGTGTAGAGTGCACTTTCAGACCTTCAGGGACCCTCATCTTAGATGCTTTATAGGCTTGGATGATAGAGACTATCCATCTATCCTCTCCTGACGCCCTTAGGTATGACAAAAAGTCTTTGAGAGATCTGCCATTCTGAAGTTCTTTGCAAATAAATTCTAAGGCATCTCACTAAGTCAATATAGGCCAAAAGTGCTTCTTCATTGGTTTGTTCCTTGGAATACAATGTTGGGAGCACTATTTCCTCATTTAGGGCAGAATTCAGAAACTGTCCTTAATATCACTCTGTCTTTATGGAATATTGTTAAAGGCTCCTTAGCAGATAAAACGTGAAATTCCGATACCTTCTTCCAGAGGCTAAGGCCACTAGTAGAACTGTTTTAACGGTGAGCAGATGAGCAAAAAGAGACTCCAATGACTCAAACGGATGAGATTTAAATGCTTTCAGAACCATCAGTAAATCCCATGGAGGAGCAATAGGTTTGATAGGCGGATTCATCTTTAGGACTTCTGTCATGAACCGGACTATATCCATGTCAAAGGCCCACTTATGGTTGCTAAGTTGCTAAGGTGAAAGGGATGAAATTAGGACTTTCAAAGTACTACAATTCAGTCCTATCTCTAAGCCGGATTGCAGAAATTCCAGAATATCTTTGTTAGATGGTTTCTGAATATCCATTTGTCTAGATATTGCCCATGAAGGAAATACATCACAGACTCTGTAATATGTGGCTTAAGTAGACTTTTTCTCCTTGCCTGTAAGAGTGTCAATCACTGTTTGTGAAAAACCTGTCTCTTAACACTACCCTTTTAAATTCCATGCCATCTGGTTGAGGGATGCTGGCACTGGGTGAAGAACTGGGCCTTGTTGTTTTAGAAATTGAACTTTTAAAAGTTGCCATGGGTATTCCTTGCAGAGAATCAGTAGGAGCAGAAATCATGGTCTGCATGGCCAGAATGGACCTATTAGTATAATCGATACTTTCCCTTGCCTTAGCCTCCTTAGCAGGGGAAAGATGAGTGGAGTTGGAAGGAATGCACATCCTAGTTTGAATTGACATTTGAATGACAATGCATCTCTTTCTAAGGCTTATGGGCCCAGCCTTTTCGAGAAGAAGTCCCTCACCTTTATGTTGCTGCTTGTAGCCATCAAGTCTATTTGAGGAAGTCCCCATTTCTCTGTTATCATATATCATCTTGTACGATAGACTTCATTCTCATGGATCTGTTTTCACTATGGTGAGGAAGTCTGCTACAGAATTTTGTATTTCTGGAAGATGTATGGCTGTTATACCTACCAGATTTGCTTATGCCCAAGTCTTTCAAGTGGTAACAGTTTCATTCAGGGGTGGTTCGTGGTCGCAGAAATATAGTGATTTCAAATCGGGTCCATCTTTTAAACACCCTGTATAATGTATCTATCAGAATCAATGCAGGGTAGAAGCAATTATTCTCTTATTAACATGGTCAGGGTTATTCAAAGTGGCCTGACCTTGAAGAATCGCTGCCTTGGAGAAATTTTCCAGTTTGGCTATTCTGACTGTAAATTTCAAATTATGTTTGAATTCCTAACCCTTCTCACTTTAGTGACCAACTCCGGGTATGTTCAGAGCATGAGAATAAAAAGTTTTTATTATATTGTTTATTCTATTAAAAAAAAAAAAAAAAAAAAATTTGCTTTATATCAGTAAGATTTCTCAGAAGGGGCTTATAACATCTTTATACATCACATTATATCTCACACCACTGGAGGAATACAAATCTTCTCATATTTCTCAATGGGAGGCTGGTTTGGAGGGAATGTTGGGGTGGGAGAGGGAGAGATTGGGCATATATTTAAGAGGCAGTTTCAGGAACAAATACATAAAATATTAATGAGAGGGTATACTATCCCGTAAAGCTATCCATTGTATTGGTAATTTTGTGGGGATTTTCCCTACTTGGAAATTAGGGGCCTACTGTTTCGGGTATTTCATACTCCTATCCTAGTCCACAGGAACTTCCTATAATTCTGACCAACAAAAGGGCTTGCATCTCACCAGCAAAAACTTATTAGAATTACCCTGGCAGCATGAAGTGCATTGGCAGCTGTTTAGCTTAAAAGAAACCTGCCACTCTTTAGCAATAGTCAAAAAAAATCTAAGATAATAAAATGTATGAATTGAATATCATGTTGCATAAAATGATATCTGCATTCAATAAAGTGTGAAATACCTCATCTGATTATACAGGGTTAACTTGGCAGGTTTGATCTGCTTGCCCTGTGGACCCCCTTCCTATGCCTGTTTTTACGATTAGGCATTACTTTTACGCATGATTTGTGGTATGGTACATCTATTTTGTTTGCACACCATACCTTTGCATAAGTCTGGTAACAATTTTTTTATTTTATTTTTAAGTTTAACACACAGTCAATGAATATTTCAAATATGAAATAGTTACAAAATTCTGATAAATTTGCATGTAATCTTGTTTCGGACATCAAATATGTAGGACACAAGACAACCATATATATTCAAAGCTGGACTGGACATTCTAGAAGCTGTGCATTGCAAGAAATGTCATACTTTGCATGTGTATACCACAGTGAAGAAATTCAAAAGGAAAAAAATATTTATTAAGGTTTAGTAAGAAATGCAAAGGGTGAATATACTTAGCACTATCTACTTAGAGAATACAACTTTCAGATTTAACAGTTTTATCAAAACACTGTCATATTAACTTATGATTTGGATTGTTGGGTTTGTTCAACATTATATTTTGTTAACCAATGAACTGGAATAATTTAGGACTTTCTATAGGCTATATAGTATGTTATGATGTCATACACATCATTGTTTGTGCATATAATTTTAATCTCACTTAAGTTAAGTTCTAAACATGGACAGTTTAAACAAAGGCACTTTACGTTTACCTGGAAAATGTTTAAACGTAATTTTTACCAACATTTTCTATTACAATGAAATGGCAATAAGCAACCCTACAAATGTACACACCACAGTGTTTCTTTAAATTAAACGTACACTTACATAACATTTCATTCCAGTGGTATAACCATTTCCAACCCCAAAAAATAAATTACCACAATGCTCTAAAACACAAAAAAAAAATTTTTTTTAAAAAATATATATATATATAAAAAAAAAAAAAGAATAGTTCTTCAAAATTGTACAGACATATTAGCAGTATGATTATGTTTTAGCACTAAACATACCAGGTCCTGGCATGTATTCTGTTTGTACACACATATTAAAAACATACAAACTTGTCTTCCTTAAAAACCCAGACCTTCTACTCTTAAGTCAATTATAAAATATATAAACAACATCTAAAATGATGGTGCACAGCTTTATATAGAGTGATAGATGAAATGAATATATAGGGTAATACTTACACAACCTTCTATAGTGTAATCATTCCAGTAAACACTATGGATGTTTAATAATTATTTATGATCCAAAAAGATTATATAAAATCAGCTTACATTTCCAGATAAACCATTTAAAGGATCTGCCATTCAGAATAAATAATGTTTCCGTCCATATAAAGAATGGAGAAACTCACTTTTTCAATGATTCACCTATTATTTCAGGTTTTATTTGAACTCAGAAAGATTACAAGAAATTTACTTTAATGGAGGGAATATTTTGGGACGCTTACCCAAAATAGAGTTTAGGAATTATGAGTTTACTTCTAGACTAGTGCATTGGTGCATTTCATTTGCATTTAATATATGCCCATACAAAGTGATCCATCTGGTATTTACCACTTGAGTATTATTCAATGAATAAGACTCCACAATTAAATTCCAGATGTACACAAGTCTAATAATTTCCATGAAGTTGTCATGTCACAGTGCTGTGATATTAGCCTTAATGTACAAAAGAAACAAAACATGATTTTACATGATGTATTATTTTACACAAGCATAACAAAAAGGTGTCTAAACTCTTTAATTTTTGTTCTATAATACAAAAATGGAAGCTTAGCAAATGCAGAGCATGCATGTGACAAATGCAATCAAAATTGCATTTTTATTGGTATTTATTTCAATTAATAAGAACCACTTCTAGTCAATCTTCACATAGATTGTAACAACCTTTAAATGGCTCCCAAATATACACCCAGGTAGCAGCTTGTTTGTTCTTGAACATGGTTTTCATATTCAGTTAGTCATTTGGCCTTTTTTTAAGTAGATTCTATTTCAATCTGCAGTTAATTAGAAAGCTGTTGTTTTGCAAGGGTGAGAAGGCATTTCTGTTAGAAAATGTACAACAAAATTAATACTAATTTTAGAAATAGCAAAGTGCATTGCATGCATCTTCCTTTTAAGATCGGATTCCATATTAAATGGGATTTCTTGTCAAACGGTGCCAAAATATTCACCAAAATCACAGGTATTAATACATTGGGTTTTTTTTTTTGTCTCTCTACAGTCGTGCTGTTGGAAGTTTTTCTTTGATCATGTGCAATCCTGTAAAAGTGAAAGATACATTATTGTAGAAATACATATTCCAGGGTGTTCATTATAGAATAGTATCACAGTTGTATATATTTCTTTAAAATTTATTTAAATATAATAAAAAGTGGGGACTAATAACAGTACATGTAGGAAGGTGTGTCCTGACTGCTGACCGAGCAGGTTGGGTGTCAGAAGCTCCTCAGCTTATCTTTTACATTGAGTGTAGAAATCCAGATGTGTTTGTATTTTTTTGGTACTGAATTTACAATGAGCATCCTGACATTATGCTGGAACCAGCTTTTTCAGAATCGTCACAGATAATTGTCCAAAACTAGAGCCTACATTCCCACATCTTGGATCAGTGGGTGTTTTCCTATTCCACTAATACTTCCCAAGCAGCCCGGTGACTATCAATGTTTCAAGTTAACCTGACATTCTCTGATTATCAGGTAAACTGTTGAGCATATGCTATACAGTTCCAAGATTGCTGCTGACTTAATTTTGCAGCACAGTTGCACACATTTAATGGTGTTACACCATAGGAGGTCATTGATAGACTCTTTAAGGTCATTTGACCGCATTTGTGAGGCATTTTGGAGGGGGTTGCAGAGTATGGTGATACCTACAGTCCCTGCACATAATAAAACAGATGACACTTTGCTGGGAGGAACCGAACAGGATTTGTCGACTATGGGAGCCCGGTTGCTCAGTCCCCTATACCACTTTCATTCCTGGAGAATCCAAGGGGACAAGTGAACGAGACAGGCAAGGAAGTTGGGATCCAATCCATGCCATTACTTTCGGAAACATTTTGGCTCAGATACTGGGACAAATATAAATGCCGGGAGCATCTCACCTGGGAAGCAGTGTTGCCAGCCCTGGAGCATCTCACCGCGCTGAGAGTCTCTGCAGATAGCAGGCGCTGTCTGCATTATCGGCAATACCGATACTGCAGTAAATGCGGAATATCAACCAGACCGATAATCGGTCGATCCCTAGTTTACTTTTATCAGTCTGGTCACTAAACTAGGTTATCTGCATGCTTACCAACTACTTGGATGTATTTTTCTATATTCAAGCTTGTATTTTCTTCCATTGCATATGGGGAAGTTTATTTGTGCACTGTATAACTTGCATCTTCATACTAAAAAAGAGGTATAACTACTCTCACGATGAACAAATGCGTATTGCCATTTTGTGCACCACAATATATGCTGTGTACTTTACAATATAGTATGTTTATACCTCAATAAAACATTGAGTGACAAAAAAGTTAAAACAGCACACTTATTGTGCATTTCAAGTGAGGTAGCACAAAGTGTAAGGTGAAATAAAACAATCTTCAGGGTGATTTGTGTGCATTAAATAGTGACAATGTATTCATTATATTAATTTTGATTTTACAAACAATGCTCTTACTAACACTTGCGTGAGCGTTCACAAACTCAGACTCAAAATTTAAGGCCACTAGTTTTGAAACAACAAAGTACCTGCATGGAGAAGCCATGTATAAAGGTTTGTATGTTCCTTTGTATTTCTGCAGCCCTAATTAAGTGTTCTTGCATAGCACGACCACTTAATGTTATCTCACATATATATTAAGTGTTCTTGCAGAGCAAGACCACTTATTGTTATCTCACATATATATTATTATTCTTATTATAGCCAAATTTGCCACCCTAACTCCTCCCACAGTTTTTACACTACATAGACAAAAATTTACCAAAACGTGCAGATTGTTCCCGATCGGATTGCTATTACTTTGTGGAACGTTTCGCCGAATGGTTCACGGAATATCGTCGTTCTTGTGGCGACATTTGTCCCATAGGAATGAATGGCAAAGCTAGAGTGGGAGCTGGCAAAAGCTGAAATATCAGGACATGATTTCTAAACTGCCACCACTCCCTCATTTTCAGGCCCACCTACACAAATCTTATATCAAAACGTTCAGCTATCCCTGCTGCCACTAGAAATGTCCACGGCTAAGCCATAGTCCTGATAGATTTCACAATATGACCATTTGTTTGCAACTCACGCCTTCCATTGACATTCATTGAAATTTCACTCAAGCCAGCTCAAATTTGAAGTGCAATTTCTAAACTGCGACTGTGCCTTCATTTTTAATACTTCAGAGACATACTATGCATCAAAATGTAGGTCTGAGTCTTGTGATTCTCACAATATAAAGCTCTTTGCTGTAGGATTTATAGTTTTTAAAATATGACCGTTTGAAGATGGCAACCACCAAAATACTCTGACCTGTCAAGGCTGCAGCAGCAAGTGATGTCATAGACAGGGCCTTTTGAACACCTGCTAATGTTTTTTATAAATGTATGGTTTAACCCCTTAAGGACTGGACTGTTTTTGCGATGTTGTACATTTGCAACCAGGAATATTTTTACACTTTTCTGGTGTTTGTGTTTAGCTGTAATTTTCCGCTCTCTCATTTACTGTTCCCATACAAATTATATATTGTTTTTTTTCAGGACAAAAGGGGCTTTCTTTACATACCATTATTTATATAATCTCATGTATTTTAATTTTAAAAAAATAAAAAAATATGATGAAAAATTGAAAAAAATACGTTTTTTGACTTTTACTTGAAAAATCTTTTACTCATCTACAAAAGCGAATGAAAAAAACTGCTAAATAGATTCAAAATTTTGTCCTGAGTTTAAAAATACCCAGTGTTTACGTGCTTTTTGCTTTTTTTTGCATGTTATAGGGCTATAGGTACAAGTAGGATATTGCGGTTTCAAAACATACATTTTTAAAATTTATCAATAGTGACATTGTAACACTATTATCTGTCATAAATCTCTGAATAACACCCCACATGTACATATTTTTTTTAAGTAGACAACCCAGGGTATTCAATATGGGGTATGTCCAGTCTTTTTTAGTAGCCACTTAGTCGAAAACACTGGCCAAAGTAAGCATTCATATTTGTTTGTGTGTGAAAAAAGTAAAAAAACTAAATTGAACGCTAATTTTGGCCAGTGTTTGTGACCAAGTGGTTACTAAAAGACTGGACATACCCCATTTGCAATACCTTGGGTTGTCTTCTTTTGCAAATGGTATGCCATCATGGGGGTAATTCTCATTCCTGGGCTACCATAAGCTCTCAAAGGCAACTTAACCAACCTGGCCATTTTCAATGTAAAAATATTTGACCCATATATTTGACCTTGTAACTTTCAAAAATGCTATAAAACCTGTACATGGGGGGTACTGTTTTACTCGGGAGACATCGCTGAACACAAATATTAGTGTTTAAAAACTGGAAAACGTATCACAACAATTATATCATCAGTAAAAGTGCTGTTTGTGTGTGAAAAGTGCAAAAAAAGTAACTTTCACTAACAATATCATATTTTTTTTTTAATTTTTATTATTTAAAAAAAATTATTTAATTTAAATTACTTATTATTTATATTTTATAATATATATACACAATATATATATAGTTATTATATATATTATATATATACGTGTGTAGTTTAATTATAAGTGTATTTTTATATTAATATAAGTACATATTAATATAAAAATACACTTAGTATGGCATTATATATATGATATATAGACATATATTATTTATATATAATATATGTCTATATATCATATTTATATACACATATATAATTTTTTTATTATTAATTAACATTAACTTTATTTTTTTTTCTGATTTTACACTAGCAGGGAGACTGCCTGTCAGCACAGGCAGTCCCCCTGCAGGCAGACACATGGACACCTATTGTGACCATGTGATCGCTGTGTTAAGCGATCACATGGCCCCAGGGGTCCTAATTCAGTGTGGGGAGACTGTCTGGGCTGCAGGCAGTCTCCCCACAACCGGAGCCACGCTGATCGCCGCCGGGGGGAACGACGGCGATCAGGTAAGTAACGGAGACCGTTAGGACGGTTCAGGACCGTCATCGGTCGGCAAGCCAAAAATGCCGATGACGGTCCTGAACCGTCCTCGATCGGGAAGGGGTTAATGTAACTGTGCAACATCGTTGCAATTAAATGTGCTATATAAATGATAACAGTTACTCCGCCCACTCCAGTTGTAGACTACTGGTGGAAGCAAGAACACTTCACACAATTTCCCCAGAAATTGTAGCTTTTCTAGTTCTTATTCTTATTATAGCCAAATTTACCACCCTAACTCCTCCCACAGTTTTTACACTACATAGACAGTAATATACCGAAACGTGCGGATTGTTCCCAATTGGATTGCTATTACTTTGTGGAACGTTTTGCCAAATGGTTCACGGAATATCGTCGTTCTTGTGGCAAAATTGTTCCCATAGGAATGAATGGCAAAATGTTCAAAACTAGAGTGGGAGCTGGCAAAAGCTGAAAAATCAGGACATGATTTCGAAACTGCCACCACTCCTTCATTTTCAAGCCCACCTACACAAATCTTATAGCAAAACGTTCAGCTATCCCTGCTGCCACTAAACATGTCCATGGCTAAGCCATAGTCCTGATAGTTTTCACAATATGACCATTTGTTTGCAACTCACGCCATCCATTGACATTCATTGAAACTCCACTCTAGCCAGCTCAAATCTGAAGGCAATTTCTAAACTGAGACTGTGCCCTAATTGTAAATATATCTCAGAGACATACTAAGCATCAAAATGTAGGTCTGGGTCTTGTGATTCTCTCAATATAAAGCTCTTCGCTGTAGGATTTATAGTTTCTAAAATACGACCGTTTGAAAATGGCAACCGCCAAAATACTCTGACCTGTGCCAGGCTGGAGCAGCACGTGATGTCATAGACAGGGCCTTTTGTACACTTGCTAATGTTTTTATAAATGTATGTTTTAATGTAACTGTGAAGCACTTTGGGCAACAACGTTGCAATTAAATGTGCTATATAAATGATAACAGTTACTCCGCCCACTCCAGTTGTATACTACTGGTGGAGGCAAGAACACTTCACACAATTTCCCCAGAAATTGTAGCTTTTCTAGTTTATTTTGCACCACTACCCTGTGGGAAGCTTGGGAGAGTAAAACACTCTGGGGTCTATTCACTAAAACCTGAAACCCACTAGTCTAGATTGGCAAAAATAATCCAGTTGTTTTGGGGCATTCAGACTGCAAAATCTGAACAAGGTTCACGTTAGTTCACAATGTCCAGATTGTGTAATACTGGCTCTAGCTGATCACAAGTCCTTATTTCAGCTTCATAGGATGTGACAGAATGTGACAAAAAAATGCTCAATATACTAGCTTGGATTGTTAATATCTGGATCTATATTTTAAAAATGTGAACTATTTGCACATAGTTTAACCTCTTAGTGACCAGACCATTTTTTACATTTTCTTACCGTTCAGGACCAGGGCTGTTTTTACATTTCTACAGTGTTTGTGTTTAGCTGTAATTTTCCTCTTACTCATTAACTGTACCCACACGTATTATATACCATTTTTTTCGACATTAAATGGTCTTTCTTAAGATACCATTATTTTCATCTCATTAAATAATTTACTATAATAAAAAAAAAATATGATTAAATATTTTTTAATAATACACTTTTTCTAACTTTCACCCCCAAAATCTGTTACGCATCTACAGCCGCCAAAAAACACCCGTGCTAAATGGTTTCTAAATTTTGTCCTGAGTTTAGAAATACCCAATGATAACATGTTCTTTGTTTTTGTTTTTTTAAGTTATAGGGCAATACGTACAAGCTATTTTCAAACCATTTTTTTTTTCTAAATTAATGAAAGTTACATTGTAACACTGATATCTGTCTGGAATCCTTCACATGTATATATATTTTTTTTTTTTTAAAAGAAGACAACCTAAGGTATTAAACTTGGGGTATTTTGACTTTTTTCATGCAACCATTTGACCAATCTATGCCAAATTTAAAAAAAATAAAAGAATGATAATAATAATAATAATAAGTGATTTTTTTTTACACACATAGCTGGAACAGATCCCGCTGTTTTTTGTTGGATCTGTAATATTGTGAACAAGTCATTTGTTTAAAAACCTTCATCTAAATTGACTATAATGGATGCTATCAGCAAAAGCCGTTCGAAAACCGAATCTGTTTGCACGAACACGTGGCAGCGGCCATTTTGTTTAGTCGAACGCACTCAGCGGTGTTTTATCGTCGAACGCGTGGAACCATTTTCGGCTACTCTTTTCCACAAACACCGCTGAAACTTTCCAACTTCCGTGCGTTCGGCTAAACTCATATAAACGGAGCGCTCTTTCGCCAGAATAAACTCCCGAACAAGCCGCTTCTAAAGAGACTAAGCACGAACCGATCCGTTTGTGCAATTTGAACTTTATCCGAATGGGAAAATAGACCGACCGCTCAGCCTGAATCTGTGGAACTGTTTCTGGCATACAAACATACATGTGGTCGGTCCAAAGAGACTTATCTATCTCCCGAACACCTGGACGGATTCTTGTGATTTTTACATATGGGAAGATTGCATAAAAGGAGAGTATCTGCCATTAAACCTCAGTTCTTCTTCACCCTCAATCTAGAGCAGGGGTTCTCAACCCAGTCCTCAGGACCCCCTACCAGTCTAGGATTTAGGGATTACCTGGGTGTGTCTAATGTGTTTAGAAAAAGAAAAAACCTTAGAGTCTAAGGTGTGTTTTTCTTTTTCTAAACACTTTAGACACACCCAGGTAATCCCTAAATCCTTGACTGGTAGGGGGTCCTTGAGGACTAGGTTGAGAACCTCTGATCTAGAGTCTTGTCTCTTATTAAGGGTAACCGCTATACAGCTATTCACACTAGCTCTTGTAAGAGCTTCTTCACTTGGATCACGACTGGATGCTGAGAATCCTCCTCACTGATCGGGAAAAGGAAACCCCTCTGCTACCCTGGGTAACCGCTATAATAGCAATTTAAGAATACATGTACTGAGAACTTTAATGCTTACTGCCAAAGAACCCCCCAATATGTGTTCATTTTTTTTGTGTTATTTTTCTCTCACATTGTAATTTGGGCATGGATTCTCATTTCCTGTTATGTGTTACTGACACAAAACACCCCAATATGTGTTCAGCAAGATCTCCTGAGTACAACAGTGCCCCAATGTACAGGTTTTATTGGTTTTTGCAAACTTACAGGGGTCAATGTAGGGCTTTCCCCTTTTCTATGTTTGCACATTGAAATGTGCCAGATTGGTTCGCTGAGCCTATGTTGTCCAGGTATGAAAATTAACCCCATCATGGCATACCATTTGTAAAAGTAGTCCACCCACGGTATTCAAAATGGGGTATTTCCAGTCTTTTTTAGTAGCCATTTAGTCACAAACCCTGGCCAAAATTTGTGTTTATATTCGTTTTTTTTGCATTTTTCACACAAACTGCCATTTCACCGATGATATAATACATTTTACTGCTCTAAAACACTCATATTTGTGTAGAGTAATGTCTCATGAGTACAACAGTCAATATAGGGCTTGCCCAATTCAGTTTGTCAGATTGGTTTGCTGCGTCTATGTTGCCTTTTGAGACCATATGGTAGGCCAGTAATGTGAATTAACCCTATCATGGCATACCATTTTAAAATCTAGACAACTCAGGGTATTCAAAATGGGGTATTTCCAGTCTTTTCTAGTAGCTACTTGGTCACAAATGCTTGCCAAAGTTAGCATTCATATTTTTTGTTTGTTTTTTTACACAAAAACTGCACTTTTACTGGTGAGATCATCGTCGTGATAAGTTTTACTTTTTAAAACACTCATATTTGTGTCTCCCAAGTATAACAATACCCCTATGTAAAGATTTTATTGTTTTTTGGAAAGTTAAAGGGTTAAATATAGGGATTGCCAATTAAATTCTCTGGACTGTGTAGACTTCAGGCAGGCCCCTGCAGGCACTGCACAAGCCGGCCATGAGATTCCGAGGACGCCCCAATCACATTGCCCGGGAGGGCCGGATTGGGCAGTGGGAGTCTGCCTGAGCTCCCAGGCAGACCCCAAGATCGCGATTGCCGGCGGGGGATTGCCAGCGTTCGGTAAGTGGCAATTTAGTAAATATACATAACGGTATGTCCGCGGTCATTACCGACTTTTTGGGCTTAAAGACTCCCCTGCATACTCAGCAGCCACAACATTGAAACCACCTGCTTTATATCATGTAGGTCCCCCTCGTGCTGCCAAAGCAGCTCTGATGTATTGAGGCATGGACTCCACAAGACCTCTGAACAGGTCATGTGGTGTCTGGCACCAAGACATTAGCAGCAGATCATTTAGGTCCTGTCATTTGCAAGTTGGACCTCCAAGGGTTGGGTTTTTTGTTCTGGCGCAACTCATGAATGCTCAATCGGATTGAGATCTGGGGATTTTGGAGGCTAATTTTTTTCAGAATGCTGCACCATAAGCCTTTCTCTTTACCCACATAATCACAGTCTGGAAAAAGACATGCAACTGTATATCTTTTTGGTAGATACTATATTTATTGCAAGTTCATTATTTTGCACCTATAATTTTGATGTGGGCTGTAAATAACGGTTATAGGACTCATAAGATAGTGGTGCAAAGCTCTAGGGAAAATGTATAGCCAAAAGAAACAAAAACTCGAAATGTTACATATTGATCCTAAGCACATTACAGTACATAAAAGTCTAAACATCTTACCAAGGTTTTCCGCAGTTTCCCTTATGGATCTCTGGTCTACAAGGAAATTTGTTTCAGTAGCTCTAAAGAACATAAACAATTGTCATTTAGTTACAAGGCAAGAAAAATACTCTAGATGTAAATATAATTGTGAAAATATATACAAATGGTCATTATTGGTATAAGATAATATGATTAGCTGTTTAGTTTAAATACTGATTTTAGATTGGTGTTTTGTTTTTCTAAGGTTACTCCTGAAGTATAAAGAAATCATGTTTGCAAGATAAATTGTATGTATGTGGTTACAGTCCACAGAGCTACTGTTAGTGGAATAAAGTAAGACATTAAAGCAGGATGCAGCAAAATTGTTGAAGTGACTTTTTTTCTATAACAATTATTGCTAGAACCTACAACTAAGAATTACAGGGATGCCACGATAGGTGGACAAAAAAGCAGGTGACTGCAGGGAACAACAGCCCTGGGACTTTTTCTGCCAAAAGCGACAAAAATAATTTAGAAAATGTGTGAAACAAGTAACCTATTGGCAGATTTGCAAATCTACTCCAACCCTTCCCTGACAGTACAAACAAGAGTCATTTACAGGTTTGTAAAGAGGACTGTGATTGTATTAAGCAGTTGCTCATGTCCTAAAATGAAGCATGCTGGATCATACACTTCATCCAGCCCATCCTTAGCAACATAACTCACAGATTGGCTCCACATAAAAAGTTCACAGCCATCCATGACCAAGACTGAGAGCTCACTACTGGTAATCCAAAACACATTACTTTTCCATAATTGCGATAGTTCCATGATTCCCTGGTGCTCTACTTTCCCCTCTCTCCCATCCCTGTTATATTCCCATTTACCACCTACATTTCGGATGATTAACATGATTTGCACCGACTCAACAACTGGACACAATTCAAGTCTAACTAATTGTTATGTTTAATGTTCTCACTTTTTTGTTTGTTTATACACACCATGTGGAGAACAGCACCTATACACAAGCTGCTACTGCATATCTGACTTACTCAGAGTGGACTTACTCAATGGGGATGGTCAATATCATTTTCTACAATGTTAGGGATTTAAACTCACCTAAAAATGAAATCTAGTACTCTAGTAGTTGCAAAACTGAAAGCAGATATAGTCTTTCTCCAAGAGACAAATCTTGGAGGTCCAAATGCCCCAAAACTATACCATAAGATATGTCCACACTTTTATTACAACAACCTCTCAAGTGGTAAGTCTAAAAGAGTGACTATAGTATTGGGGGTTCATGTACCATTTACCTATAAACAAAACATCTCGGACAACAAGGGATTGTCACAGTTTTCACAGTGACATCCAGACGTGGTTGCCCCAGAAGTGCCCAAGAGGGTATTTGAACTCTGGACTCTTTCTGCCTTAGTCCTGTCTTGCCTCTGGGTTTTTGTTTCTGCCTATGTTTATCCTCACCTTGTCACCTCACCTGGGGGCTGGACTTTTCCTGTAGCTGCTCCTGTCTAGCTAAGCTCACCTGAAGCAGATCGTAATTAGCTTAGTTTATACGCACTGCCTTGCCCTGGGAACTTTGTCAGTTGGTTGTTTCATGTTTCCTGTTCCTGTTGCTTATAGACTGACTTGGCTTGTGACCCCTGCTTCTGGATCCTTGTTATTGCGTGTTTGCTGCCTGCCCTGACCTTTGGAACCGTGTCTGATTACTCTTCTGGATTTGCCCTTGTCTGAACTGCAAATTGGAAAACCTTTCATGCACAACCCCCATGCACAGATTCACAGTCCTGGTGGTTTCTAACCTTATCACCTTGGACAGCGTATAACTGCAAGGGTGAGCACAAATCTCTGCCTACCGGACTCCCAACTAAGGTAAGCCCTGACAGGGATGACTTAATCCTGAAGGGTTCTTTAGGGACCACACTTGTGACCTTTTGATATTTATTGGGCAAGTAAATAGTTACAATGTGCATCCTTTAGATGTACGCTTTCAAAGAATGTGACGGCAGAAAATAACCAATCGGCCCATCTAGTCTGCCCAATAATTTAGAGAGTGATTGGATTATAGAAGGAGACTTTAAAATCGATCCATGGATGTGGACAGGGATAGTACAGCTAGACACCCATCATGTAACAGGCAGAATTAAGATAAATCCAAAACGTACCAGGAGATGTATTGTAGGAAAAGCAGATAAAAAGGTGCTAGTGGTTATTGTATTCGATAGAACACAAAATGTCTCTTAAAATGAGAAGTACGTCTTCACATAATGCATAAAAACCTTCAAGTGGTATTGCCAGGAAAAGTGTTGCCTTTAGCTAAAACAAGTGGGGCACATCAACTAAGTAGTAGATTGAAAAACAATGCTGAAATGATATAAACAAGATGCTCTAAAAATATTGCATCCAAGTGTGCCCAAATAATGAATACAAACATGATTAAAAAAATAAATATGCAGTTTAAACACAGTCCATAAAAGATATGAGAAATTTGCATCCAACATGCAGAATGTCCATAGGAAAGCATTGATAAATGCTTTCCAATGGACTGTTTGAATGCGCGCATGGCACTTGCTGCGCATGCGCATGCCGCTCCACTCAGGACCAGACGTCGGTGGGGGAGGAGAGGTCACCAGCGCCGAGGGAGCCCGACGCTGGATTAAGGTAAGTTGCTGAAAGGGATTTAACCCCTTCAGTACCAACGGTGGGAGCACCCTTAGGGCACTATAGTGTCAGGAAAACGGGTTTGTTTTCCTGACACAATAGTGATCCTTTAACGTTGAAAAGAGTGAAATCTGATATCTTACAGTCAGAAAACACAACGCATTCCTTCTTAAAGTTCTTATTCCCTTGAGACCAAGGCAGCATAAAATATCTAGGAGTTAAGAAACAAGAAAGGAAATATTAGAGGTGGACTAAGTCCACATCAAAAATTTCCCGAAGGGGTTACAGAGATATCAAGGGGCATGAACCCCGCAAAATAATTTTGAAGGAAAAAGAACTAGAGTGAGATGGTTGTTCCACTAAAGATGGAAAAACTGGACACCCATTTCACCAAATGATATCTCAAATATATTACAATAATTATTAGGTATAACCTTTATTACGCCGTCTTAGGGCAACACACAAAGAGTTAAATGTGATAATAGTGAAACACTCGTGAAAAAAACAAGTGAAATAAAAACTGGGTAGATGCCATATGGATATCCTCAAAAGATAATAGAGTGGCTAAGGGTATCTACACTGAGTGTTTGTAGTAAGAAGTACAATGTATAGTATAATATATATCCAGTCAAACACCACAGAGCCAATTCTCTAGAGGAAAAATCTACAGGGATCTAAAGATATCCCTATTAAATTCTATAGAGGTAATTCCACATAAAGTACCATAGACTCTAATATATTTTCAAAAGTATATAAATTAGACTTAGATACATAGTGTATCGTCAATCTAACATAAATTTGATCTAAAGTGTTGCAAAATGAAATAGAGTCTAAAAAACAGCTGAGAGGCAGTATATGTAGAGTATGCTACTTAGTGTTTAAAGTTTAGATGGAGTAGTATAGATAATTATAATGTCTCAATAGACCAAATAGAGCGCAGATATATAAATAGGTTTAGAAAAATGGTTGGACAAAATAATCCTGGGGGTTAGAGAACAGGTATCTCATAATAGTAGTAAGGTGGATTAATAAATCAATCCCTATGTATATATATACAGAGGTACCCCCCCAGAAAGATTGAAAGATTGAAAACACAAAAAAAACCACTTTGAAAAGAATATATGTAGAAAGTTGAGAGAGTTTAAATCTGCACTCATCAAAGCTAGCTTCTATAGACACTAAACACTGCTGCTTCGATAGAATTTAATAGGGATATCTTTAGATCCCTGTAGATTTTTCCTCTAGAGAATTGGCTCTGTGGTGTTTGACTGGATATATATTATACTATACATTGTACTTCTTACTACAAACACTCAGTGTAGATACCCTTAGCCACTCTATTATCTTTTGAGGATATCCATATGGCATCTACCCAGTTTTTATTTCACTTGTTTTTTTCACGAGTGTTTCACTATTATCACATTTAACTCTTTGTGTGTTGCCCTAAGACGGCGTAATAAAGGTTATACCTAATAATTATTGTAATATATTTGAGATATCATTTGGTGAAATGGGTGTCCAGTTTTTCCATCTTTAGTGGAACAACCATCTCACTCTAGTTCTTTTTCCTATCTAGGAGTTAACATCACAAAAGACACTAAAGAACTACACCTAGCCAACTTTCCTTCCCTACTGAACAACATTAGAAAAGACATGAAAGGCTAAAATAAACCCCATTTTTGATAGTTAGGGAGAGTTAAAATAATAACAATGAACTTCCTTCCTAGAATATTTACTTACTCAGTAGCCCATCTCCATACCACCAAGCTTTCAAGCTTTTTTAAAACAGTACGATCTCTACTTATCAATTTTGTATTAGCAGTGAAAAAAAACCTTGTATTGCATACCAATTTTTAGTCAAATTGAAACTTAGAGGAGGGACAGGACTCTCCTACATACTCCACTATTATTATGCAACCCACCTGAGCAGAATAAAATCAGCTGGTCTTCAGGATTCCTTTGGTGCAATCAAACATACATGCACCACGTATGGCTTTACCATGGATGTCCAGCCATACATCATATATTTTTGTTGACACACACGCACCCATCTATTTCAGCTACATTAAAGGTATGGAAGAAATTAGCTACATATAAAGACTTATCCCCAGATATACCTCTGAAATACACAATCTTACACAAGCCACTATTCCCAGTTGGTGAAAAGGGCTTACTGCTAATAACCAAAATCGAATCAGTCTACTCTTCCCTACTTATCGATGGGAGACATTGTAGAAAATGCTAAATTAAAACTGATACCAGAAATAATTACGCAGAAAACACAAACACCCCTTCAGATATTTCAATTCCATCAATTAACACTTCCTGACAACATTAAAGCTACCAGAAATGGACTCCGAGAAGAACCTATGCATGAAAAACTAACAGAACAAACCAGTAACGATTACACTTTCCAAGTATTATAAATTGATCAAATCCTTGTTAAACTCCAAACTTTCCTAATACACACGCATATGGAACACACAACTCACAAAACCACTCACGGATCAAGCAGGGTTAACAATTTGTCAATGTACATTCGAATCACATTTAAACTTCAAATTAGTAGCTAGATGGTATACCTCCCCTTTAGAGATACACAGATTTGACAAGTCCCAATCACCCAACTGTTGGAGATACAATAAAGATCTTAAGACACTTCAACACATATGGTGGGACTGTGAAAAAAAAACATGCAGGAATTTTGGAAGAAAGTTTGAGAAATAGTAGACATTTCAGGTATTAAGATTTTCTCCTTACTGTTACAAAGATGGAATTTACACTCCTGTGGAAATCCACAAAGCAGCCCTTATACTTAACTTGGTTGTCCAGAATCGAACACTTCCTGGCTATGAAAGAACTCAGATTGTCAACACTTGGGAAATGACGAACACACAGTGACATAGTGTGGAATTACATGCACAGTAATATAGTTAAACCTCCTATGATATGCAACTTTCAACTGTCAGGGCGGAAGCATAGGTGGGGGGAGACTCACATAGTATTACTCTAGGCTTCTGACTAGCTCTGCACACAACCTGATTCAGCTTAATCCAGTATGCTCTCATTAACAACGTCTATTGATCTCTGAGTACCATGGGACGAGATAGACCACCTCATTTTACCACTTGTTTTTACACATACACAAAATGAACTGCTGAACCATGGAAGACCATGTAATGTTACTATACTTTACTAGCGGGTATTTTTGTTATCAATGTTTTTCTTTTTTGTCATTTGCATTCTTTCTTGATTCAACTTGGTTCAACTACAGGATCAATAGGCAATTAATAAATACACTGTTCTGCAGTTCATAAATGTCTGGCAAACTTTCACATCTGTATCACCAGGTGTCACCATGAATGTGCATCCATTTTATATAGATAACGTATCAAGAACAATACGGACTCTTTCCATTACTGCAGGGCTCTTTATTTTTCCTACGATATTATTTATTATTTCCTACTACATACACACATTGTACAAGATGTATCGATTGCAATTGTGTTGAATTGCAATTTATGAAAGACCTTAATAAAAATAAAAAAGTTCACAGCCTGAAGCACGTGAATGTTCATATTGCCTATATGGATCAAGCCAAGACTCCTTAAGGTCTACTGATGCCATCTCTATAAGTAGTTCTCTATGTCCACACCTTTACAACTTAAAATTGAAATTGTGGGAGAAGGAGCAGGGAAGTACAAGAGACAAGCATTTTAGCATTTCTGTCATTTCTAATAGACAATGACCTTATCCTAACCATGACTGCTTTTGTGGACTGTTAGAAACATTGATTGTAAAGTAACATGTGTGATTTTTTTTTCCCACATGATAATACAGGAGCAATATTGTCCTGCATATAACAAGTTGAACTATAACAGAGGACCAAACTTTTCCCCCTGTCACTTTGTTATTGGTTGCCATTCCTTGACCAGCACTGTTAAGGACATCGGTCATGAAGCATTGCACTCTAATTGGCTGTTTCTTACAGACCTTTAAAAGGAGAGTTTTAATAGCCAACATCAGACAATCAAAGAGAAGAAGAGAAGCAAATAAAATAACACTGGCTATACACATCACTGCTCTGAGACAACAGATCAGTGACTGACAGATAACCTGACCAATAACCTAGTACTTCAAGACAACAAAAATATTAACAGTTCAGTGAGTGTAGAAATTGAATAAATGATCATTATTAAAAAGGTTGCATGAAAGAATTAAACATCAAATATAAAATAAAAAGGACTATATAAAAAAAAGCAAATAATACTACTTACGATTTAATGACCCTCACAATTCCAACTTGCACAAATGAAGATAATGTGTTCTTTTGCATATCTGAAGATAAGGCTTCATAACATTTGGTTACGCCTGTGGAGATTTTTACAAGGAATTTTCAGTGAAATTCTTACTTAAATTATAAACAATGAGTAACATCATAAAAAGTTTATAGATAAGTGATACACAGGCCTAGTTATGTTATAGAGTAGTTTTATTGTGGATCTTTCAACAATAATCTGTGGATGATGAAACCAACTTCAAGCACTATAACCACTACAGTGCGTTGCCACCTCCAATGTCAAGAAAACAAACATTTAAGAACGGTTTGGCTTTTTACCTGTGGTCTGTCCGGTTCAGTTTAAAAAGGCCACACAATGGCTGAGAGCCTCAGCTGATAACTCTCAGGAATTTGTCAGCTCAGAGCTCTCTGAAGTGGTTATGGTGTTTCGAGTGTTCCTTTAAGGTACACATGTAAATGTAATCAGTACATTTATATCTATGCATGATAAATATTTTTTTTTTTTATGGTGCCACCTATGCAGATTCAAACTAAAGGGACACTATAGTCACCAGAACAAGTACAGCTTATTGAATTTGTTCTGGTGAGTAGAATCATTACCTTCAAGCTTTTTGCTGTAAACACTGTCTTTTCAGAGAAAATGCAGTGTTTACATTACAGCCTAGTGATAACTTCAGTGGCCACTCCTCAGATGGCTGTTAGAGATCCATCCTGGGTCATGGCTGCATGAAATGCATCCAAACATTTAGTATCTCCTCCCTCTGCATGCAGACACTGAACTTTCCACATATAGATTCATTGATTCAAGTCATCTCTATGAGGAGATGCTGATTGGTCAGGGCTGTGTTTGAATCATGCTTGCTCTGCCCCTGATCTGCCTCCTTGTCAGTCTCAGCCAATCCTACGGGGAAGCATTTTGATTGGATCAGGCTACCACTTCTGATGATGTCAGAGGAAGTTTACAGACAGAGGCGGAAGCTTCAGACTTGAATACAAGTAAGATTTTACTATCTTTAGGGAGGCAAAGGGGGCCAGGGGGGCTATAGAGTGGTTTTAACACTATAGGGTCAGGAATATATGTTTGTGTTCCTGACCCTATAGTGCCCTTTTAAATATAAAGGCATCACATGGTACTAATCTTTGGTCATATCGGCTTTCAGGAAGCCCATGTATCTATTTCATTTTACCACACAGAGCAAATGTCAGCCTGTTTATCAAAATAGTATAAGATTCAAATGAAAATAATATAAACTAACTAAACCTAACTACGCAATCTGGACAAAAATTCCCCTTCACTGATCTGAAACCATATATGAAGCTTTATTTTTTATATTTGTGGTATTAGGTTACAAATTTCTAGATACTCATTCTTTATGAATAACAGGTCCTCCAAAGTCCACAAACAACAATACAAATTAGAGGATATTTATTGTAATTAATATAGCATGCAAGAAAGAACATTTTCAATAAAAGGAACACGTCAAGCACCTTAACCACCATAACCAGTACATGACACTTTAGCAATTATGGTACCAGGGGTGCTGGCTCCCCCTCCATTGTTAGTAGTCAAGCCAGTTTAGAACGGTATGATTTCTTAACTTGGTTCCTCTGGGGCACATCTCCAAAATAGCCTTCAGCCTGCTTAGGAATTTCAGTTGGCTCTTGTGAGCCAAGCCCTACAGAGCAGAGCTAGCGCAATTTCTGAGAGAGCGAGAGGATTGCGCTCAGCCTATGAGCTAAACCCTGCACCTAAACCCTGAGCTTAAGACAGAGAGCTTCCGGTTTTCTGAAGGATGAAGTGGAGGCGGAGAGCAGTGCCTTGCAGACCATAGGTATGCAGAAAAGCCATTCTAAAAAAATACTTACAAAGTAGGGGAGTCTCAAGGTACTCCTGGCAACATAACTACTACAGTTTGCTATAATGTTTATGGTGCTTGGCATTTTCCTTTAATAATTTGGTAGTACACAATGCAAGGCAATATAAAACTGTGTGTTAACTTTCTAGAACCCTCCGTGGAAAGTTCTGTTCTCCAAATGTTACGGACTGAAGAAAAAAGCTCTGCCCAGCATTAGCAGTTGCAGTTTTATTTGTTTCTCAGATGCTAATACTTATAGGTTATATGATTTACTGAACTGTTGTTTATGAGGTTAAATGAACAGCATACAAGTTCAAGGAACTCACCTCCTACAATTCGTTGAGATATAAAACTTCTCAATCCAGACACATACTGTTTTTCTGTAAAAGTCTCAAACACTTCCTTTGCAAGGTACAAGCAGGCCAACTGTAGATTGAAAAAAAAAATATATTAAATATAAAACATTTTATGTTGCTCCATAGTCAAAAAGTGTACTGCTTGAAACCATGTTTGAAAATTAATGCAGCAAAATATTAAGTTGTAAGTAAGACTAAAAGCACTAGTACAGATTAAACAAACTAAAGGTGATCTTACCACAAAGGAAAGTAAAAGCACCAGTAAGCATACATTTTACAACATGACAAGAGGCTTCATATTTTGCATTAACTCTCTTTACTAACTCCACAGCAGCAAAGATAACACATAAACAAGGTGAACCACTCTTTAAAGTGCTGGAACAAGCTAAACACTATATGCCACATCGCTCCCGATACGACTCTGATTCTTAAGCCTCAGTTTCCCACATTAAGGAGAACGCCCTCCCTGGCAAGTGCCACTGGAAAGGCAACAAGAAAAATTCAGCACAAACTATACAAGGGCAAGGCAGCTGCTAAACGCTACAAGATGGCAACAACCTATGCACTTACCCCACGACACAAACGATCCTCTGGAGAGGAGGGTGACCTGCCCCGCTCCCTGTCCATACTGGACAAAAGGGTAGCGGTGGCGTCAGATGACACTTGGGGTTCAGACGCTAAGTAACACATCGCATCCATGTGGGAGACTATTGTGAGTGAGTCCCAGATTATAGAGGGCGTTGGCCCCGCACAAGAGGCTAGGAAAACTATTCTGGACCTGACAGGTGAGAAGCTTTTTGACCCATGGAATATCAGACAACCACGTTCAAGTGAATGGACACCCCCTGACCATTAGGTCCAAGTTCATGCATTTATGGCTCCATAAGCCTCTGTAAAAGGTGGTACATAACTGACTGAGGTCGGAATGCCCACACCTTTCCCTGGCCGGTAACGTGGCCCAAACCCCTGAATTCGACCAAGTGATGATGACCTTCATGAGGAGAGGTGGTCGTGACCCCCATAAAGGGGTGGAGAGGGGCTTCAGAGGTGCCCAAGATAAATTGTTGGACCCCTCTCACGGATCACGTACCTGGCAGACAACGCCTTCATGAGAGCTAGCCAGCACTGTTCAGGAATGGGCTCACGGCATACATGAATGGGAACAGAAAGTTGGTGGACTTAGGCACCAAAGAGCTCGGACCCCAGGCACAGGGCAAACTGTTTGGTGAAGCCTTTCTAAAGGAGCTTAACAAGCATGTTAATGTCTTCACTTTTCTCACGAAGGCACAGACCTTGATGCGGAAGGTCTTTCGGGGCAACCCTATGAGGGTTTTTTTTTGGGCAGGAGTGGCCGACAAAGAGTCCGTGCCACCAGCCTTTCACGCCCCTGTTCTCCATAACTGCAACTGTTTTACCCGGAAGTGGGATACAGACAGCCTCTCATACTCTGAAGGCACAGAAAGAGGTCGCATATCACGTGGACTTGGCAGAGCAGGTTTCTCCTCAGGTAAGCAACAAATTATCTCATTCCATATGTCTCCGTACCGCAGGCCATATCTCTGTTTTTTCAGAATTGGGCAGACATCTACGCGGACGTGTGGGTGCTGCAGATGGTTCGGGGTTATATCATCGACCCCATCGGTTCCCCCCATCAGTCAGGTCCACCCCGACCTATCAACTGCTCCGCGGACAATTCCAGGCTCATCGACTCCGAACTCTGGGAACTCCACACCAAGGGTGCGATTCAAACTGCTCGGGAACCTGGAGGGTTTTTCAGCAAAATTTCCTGGTAAAAAAGAAAAGCAGTGATTTCCACCCAGTTATCAACCTATGGGAGATCAACGCTCACATGGTATACAGCCATTTCAAGATGCAGGGTATCCATCTTTTGAGGGACCTTCTTCAGGATGGCGATTAGTTCACGAGGTTGGACCTCAAAGACGCGTACCTCTCAGTACCCAGTATTCATGTGGCTCGACCAACCTTGGCAGTTCACATGCCTCCCTTTCAGCCTCAGCTTGGCTCCATGGTGTTTCACCAAGCTTCTTAAGCCTGTGGTTACTCATTTTCGAGCAAGAGGGGTTCGTTGCAGGTAGAGACTAAAACTAGACACACACACTATACCGTGGAACTGCTGGACTCCCTTCCAAACAATCCAATTTCTGGGTTTCTAAAATAGACTCCACGTCAGGCACCCAACGACTGCCAGCGTCAAAGATCTCAGCCATCCGCAAGGTCATGCGCTTGCAATCCATCCCCCTCCGCAGTCTCCTGTCCGGATCGATCCAAGCCATTTTCCCATGTCCACTACACTACAAAGCGATGCAACGCCTGAAAGCCTCGTTCCTTTGTCAGAACCCTAACTACGACCAACTGGTACCGGTGACAGACGAGGTACGGGAAGAACTAAGATGGTGGCTGGACAGCATGCAAGCCTGGAATGGTCGGGCAATCTTCGGCGACAAACCAGATTTTGTCCTGGAATCAGACGCCAGCCTCTGGGGATGGGGCACTATAAGTGAAGGAGTATCTACAGTGGACATCCCAGAAACTCTCCATGCATACCAATTGCCTGGAACTCCTAGCAGGACCCTTCACAATCTACAGCCTAGCGAGGGAGAGATCCAACTGTTACACTGTCCATCTTGAGGAGAATGCATCGGCAGTCCGCTATATTAACCGCCTGGGCGGAGCCCGATCTAGTCTCTTGTCGGAAATAACAAAGGAGATCTTCAATTTCTGTCTACCTTGCAACATCTCCCTTAGGGCAGAATACTTACTGGGCGAGATAAATCTCACGGCGGACTGGTTCTCCCACCATTGGCGAGAAGGCAGCAACTGGATGCTGGACCCTCAGATATTCAACACCCTCTCAAATCAGAGAGGCCCATTCCGTTTGGATCTGTTTGCATCATGCAACAACATGCAAGCTCCGGACTTCTTCAGCTGGCTTCCGGAACCGGAGAGCAGGGCAGTGGATGCCTTCCTGCAAACTTGGCCAGTTAACGGAGCCTACGCCCTTTCCCCCCCTTTGCTATGATAGCGAGGACACTTCACTACCTGAGAATTCAACAACTATCACTGCTACTCATCACTCCCCTATGGCGGAGTCAGACGTGGTTTCCGGATGTAGTGGACCATCTTATCCTACCATCTTATCCAACTCTCCTCAAGGATCCAAAGGGGAACCCCTGGTGGCTTAGACTCTTTCCGGGGTGCCTGGCAGATCAGTGAACTATCACAGGCTGCTAGAGACCTCTTGTGGGATTCTTGGGGCTCCAGGGACGAGACGATGCTACCTCCTAAAATAGGATAATAAAAAAACATTTAAACTAGGACAGGAGAAATAAAGATCTATGAATAAACCAGAAGGAAAAAAAACCCGTCCCATAATCAAAGAGAAGGTAACATGTGTGGGAAAATACTCGCCACCTGTCATTACTAAAATTTAGATTATTAGTACACTAAAGCTAGCATAATCTTCAATTATCATTTTTTTCTTAATGTGGAGAAGGTCTGCAGATGAACTCTTCCATGAGATTATCAATAATATTATTCAAAAAATATCAGTGCTTCAGAACTAGGCATTCAATTGCCAAGCTGTCACATACATTGCTCCAGTGTTCTAGTGCATTTGCCCTGTGCTTGATTATTATTTCTGGCTGTGTCCAATTATAACAGTGATACTCTTGCAACTAACCTTAGCTTGTAGTGACTTCTCTGAAATATTTTAGAAAATTCTGATCCTCAGTTTCATTATACATCCAAATGTATCCCCTACTAACTGCCTACACTCCAATCAGATATTTTTCTGGTTCATCTTCTCCAAAATACCGCTGATGCTTCTTTGGCTTTGGTTATACGTTACATAACATTCCAGCCTTACAATGCAAGCTGTGAATTTGGTATGTACATTTAGACACTAGAACTACTCCATTAGATCCTGTATAAGCTGTTTCAGTATTTGTCCAAGTCACAAAAGACACTAATGTGTGCTGATGAAAACCAATATTAGAATTTCATCACGAGGGAAGAAAAATGCTGAAGAAGATGTAGAATTCTGTAACAGTATGAGGGATACTTATTTCAACATAGACTAGTTCAGATATGGATTTTCAGACTCACTGAAAGATTTAAAAGTTGTTAATCCAGAATTCTGGATGGATGGATGCTGGATTGACGCATTAGTAAAAGGGGTAAATGTAGATATTTTTTTTAAATGCTAGTGCTTTAAAATTAAATCAAAGATGCTCAAGTAAATGTCAAGAAATTCACCATCGTTCACCATATTTCTACATACAAAAAAAAAAAGTGGCAGAACATGGCTTTGCATTTTATACTGAAAAACCCTAGCACCTTCGTGGAAGGCTCTCGAAATCTACAGTAGACATTTTCAAATAGGTAATTAAACCAATAGCAGTTCAACTTTAACCATATGCGAAGATATAAACTTGTTTTCCATGTATCCTAACTTGTTGGGCTAGTTTTTATAAATTTGAAGTGGTTATTCCTAATAAAACATGGAGTTTAGCTTTTTTTTCTTCTGGGGATCAGGAAATCCATCCTGAAACAATAGCGTGTACGGTGACTGATGGAGAATTAATTATTTTACCTATACAATGCTTAGTAAATATTCCCCTAGACATACAGAGCTATAAATATATACAGTAACTTATGTATTGCATATGGCGATGTGGATTTAATAACATATTATTCGGTACCAACAGATATCTGGGCAAGCTTCCCTTGATGGCTCTTTTAGTGAAAAAAGGCGAGGAAATCGATGTGAAGAATTAATAAATTAGTACATCTGGAGATACCTTGCCTAACTCTCACCTGCAGTACCAGAGAGATGGGGACTTGTCATAGATACAAGTAAAGAAAAGGGTTAAAAAGCCTTTTTGTCTTAGTTAAGTCTTTCCACGTCTGCAAGGGTTAAAAGCAAGAATTCTATCCCCTATCTGCTATCTTGCAGGCACACATACTCCCTTTTTTCTCTCACAAGACCTTCACGTAGTTTAGAGAAGACGTGCTAGAAATGCGCAGTAGATTTCCTGTAATACGTAATGTTATATGAGAAATTATACTTTTTGCACTGAACGGCTATGATTGGTTGATTTTGTCTTCTGTTGGATACACTTCTATGAAAACTGTGTTTGTTTAATATATACGCTGTACCCACATTTAAAAAGCATAATTTTTCTGGAACTTCATAATGACTGTTGTACATTAATTGTTCTCTGCAGTGAACATACATATAGAGATTAAGGAAAGCAGGATGTGTTAACTGCATAGATCCATGCCAGCTTAAAGGTATCCAGACCCTGCAGAATTTTGCAGCCCAATAGTGACCTTGAGATTTATTGTCTCAAAAAAAAAAAAATGTTTCCGTTAACCCCCTTAAGGACACATGACATGTGTGACATGTCATGATTCCCTTTTATTCCAGAAGTTTGGTCCTTAAAGGGTTAAAGACACTTTAAATCATTTATGTTTCCTCTTTTAAACCTTGGTTTTCCTTTCTCAAATGGGTGGCAAAAACATGACAACTTCAAAGTACAATAGGTGGAGTCTGATCTTCTGTAATGCGATCATTTCTAGTATGTCCTTCATCCAGAAAAATTATATTATTTTTTGGATTGTACCACCCTCATAGATTGTAAACTCATTTAAGCACTCATTTGAGTGCTACAGAATCTGTTGGCACTATATAAATGCTAATAATAGTGATAATTTAATCAGCAAGCTTCATAATATTAGCAGATTTATAAGTTTGTGCTTTGCTTTTTTTTTTATTTTGATAAATGGTACACACTAAAGTAAGATTTCAAGTTTTAGAACAAAATAGTCAAATCAGGGGTAAAGCTGACTTAGGGGTGGGGGTGGCCGCCGGGGTTCCAAATCAGCTTTTTTGGAGACTCAAGGCAACAAAAGGTCACTTCACTAATATTTTCTTCCGTGCTTCTAAGCAGGGAGTGAAGCAGAGATTGACAGTTTTCAAACACTGTCCACAAATATGACAACAGAATCCTGCCATATACTAAAATGTAGAGGATGAGTTATACTATATATATATATATATATTATATATCTCATTTTAATACTTGATGAAATTATTATTTTTATTCAAGGAACACTATAGTCACCAGAACAACTACAGCTTAATGTAGTTGTCCTGGTGAGTATATTCAGTACCTACGGGCTTTTTAATGAAAACACTGCCTTTTCAGAGAAAAAGGTGCTTCCTGGGGCAGTGCTGCTTGACGTTCAGCGTGTCCACACTCTGCATGGAGATACTGAATTTTCTCCATAGAGAGGATTGATCAGGGGGGTGTTTGGCTCCACCCCAGACCCACTATCATACCTGAGGCTGCTACATGGCACTTACAGGCTCCGGGGGTGGGGGGAGGGGGGCGGAAGATCCTGGTCCCACGCCGTTCTTACTGAAGTGAACGTCGTGCTTCTGGATACCTCCAACTCTGAGGTCACGCGGCGTTCTCCTAAAGGAAGTGCAGACAGTGATTTCCATGCCAATACTGCGCCGCCTACAGGAGCACTTTGGAATTACAGGACCCTGTAGGTGTTGGATTTTATACTTACCTTTTTGTGATGTCATATTTGTTGGACACCTAAGTCTAGCCTGCACAGGTCACACCCCTTTGTGTGTCCTGGTGCAGAGAGATGATGGTGACCAAAAATATTCTTCTTTGCCATATATAAGTTCCCCTCTTTCTGGGAATCATTGCCATGTCATGGTTCTTGTTAGCCCGAGAGTGCATTATAATGTTAGTCTGTAATTCCAGTTGCTGACCCGATTATTGACTATTGACTATTGTGACTCTCTGTATACTTTTGAGCGTGGCTTGTTTTCTTGTTCTTGCGTACCTTTGTATCCCTTGAACTTGGAATTCTTTCTTACTACATTTTCTCGCATTTTTAAGCACACGGTAAGCTTAGCCACTCTATGGTCCGGTATATGTAACCTGTCTTTCATTCTATTTTGGCTATTATCATTCTCTTTGACAATGTCCTTTTTCCACTTCTCATGTCCCAAACCCCTTTCAGAAGCAACTACTTTGCAAGATTGTAATCTGAATGAGAATAAAACCTTGTTTTGGTCGTTGTGGGTAAGCATTTGATTATTTCTTCAGAGCACAAAACAAAGAAACAAACCGAAAACATAGTATAATTAGGGTGCCATGTAGGCAACGCAGAAATATAAAAGAATTATTACAGTGCTAATTATTAAAGGACAGATTTAATTAAACTTGAGCACTAGGCATTTAATAGATACAAACATGAATTCCTTTGGCATACCTGGTATCCTTCAAGGAAGGGTTGGAACATTCTTGATAAAAACAATGCTCCATTAGCACCTTTCTCTGCAATTATGATCTCAAGAGGGGTTAGATTAATTATATCACACTTTGTCAACAGGAAGCAGCCTTCTTCAAAATCCTGCCAAGTAAAAATGGTTTTGGTCAAGTAGAACAGAAAAAAAAAAATCTAACTTAGATAACACTCAGCACCACAACAACTACAGCTCAGTCAAGAGGTTATTTTAAAGAGAACCCATTTGCAAGTGGCTTGACAAAAATCAATGGTTTCCAAGCAGCCTCCCCCCCTCAATAATGCAGAATTTACACTTCTATAATAACAGCCTACAATTGATGTCCTGGCCGAATTAAACTGATCCTGAGAGCCCAGTCTATTATTGCTATCCAGACTGATTAAAGTTAATACTGATATTGCAAAAGTGTACAATCTGAAATGCGGAGGTGGCTGAAGAGGGAAAGGTCTATAGTTGATGTGAGATCCAAGGTTTTAATTTGCCACATACAATCTTATTCACATACAATGAAGAAACATACATAAAATAAAAGTTGTTCATACTGCAGGACTCAAATTTATACTGTGTACTATTCCATGCAGGGTGATGGTTGATATAAACAATGAATTATACAGAATAAATTATACCCAGGCCAATACACGTTGTTGTATATATACTTATTTTTCTTAATAACGGAGTTTGTATTTTATTTGTGGACTGGCTTGGTAATTGGCTAAAGTTGGAATGCTGTCCAGATCAGAAAAATTTCAGCTGAAATTGCAATTTTCATTTTTATTAACTGCAAAGTTGGTTACTTCAAACAGAGGAGACCAACTCATTCAGTAATATCTAGTGTCTGCTTAAAAAAATCTCACGTGTCTCCAATACAGAATAGAAGATTTGTATTTTTATCAAACATCAAATTTCAGCCAGGTACAGCCTGAGCAAACCCTGAAGAAGGCAACATTTCCAAAATAAAGTCAACGGCTTTTGCTGGCAAACCTACAAAGACAAGTTTTATTGGCCCACTGAAAGCCCAAGTATCCATAGGGCAAATTATTGAAATAATACACTACTATGATCACACAATTTCCCTATTTTCCAATAGTTAAACACCTTTTTAGCTGTTAGTGTTCCTGAATTGTAAATGGAATGGAAACTGACCCTAAACATGAACAACAAGATGATACTGCTGTATTTTTTACTTCATTGTGACCTATTACCTTCTCTTCAAAATCAGGAAAGAAAATGAACTCTTTGGTAAAAACACTTCTCAAGAACTTGAATGATTTGTAGACTTCCTCTGAAAAACAAGTGAGAGCTCATTAGCACATAACTCCTATAATAGACATTGATGGTAAACAACAAGAATAGAATTGCTAAGACAGGCTAGAACCCCATAGCTTTCAACATTCAAATCAATACAGAGAATCCAGTATCACAGCCACTGGTGTGATAATTCTTGCACCATCATAGGTGTGATAGTTGGCTTCTAGATTACCCTTTTTCCAAGTACAGAAATGCTTTATTCTGATTAGTAAACTCATCTCTTTAAGAGCTGTATTGCTGAATGATTGATTATTTTGCAAACAAATGATGTGGACAGGTTACAAACCATAACCTAACAGACTGATGTGGTCCCAAAAGAGTAAGCAAGAGAGATTCCCAGGCACTCAAAGTGGAAAATGGTAACATATGAAACAAAATTATGATTCTATTTAGATATAAGCTGCTTACTCTTTTGGCAAAATTGATCACAGGAACCACACTCACTCCCAGCAGCCACAGGACCAGCAATCCCAACACGTTAAGACAGCAAGAAAGATTCACAAGCACTCAAAGTGTGAAAGCCACAGGCAGATTTATTGAAACAAATCAGCGAGCAACGTTTTGACCCACCAAGAGGTCTTTTTCAAGGTCTTGGTGGGTTGAAACGTTGCTGTCTGTTTTGTTTCAATAAATCTGCCTGCGACTTTCACACTTTGAGTGCCTGGGAATCTTTCTTGCTGCCTTAACGTGTTGGGATTGCTAGTCCTGTTCCAGAGCACCTGTGGCCGCTGGGAGAGAGTGTGGTTCCTGTGATCAATTTTGCCAAAAGAGTAAGCAACTCATTTCTAAATAAAATCATAATTTTGTTTCATATGTTACCATTTTCCAGTGGCCCTGTGCAGACGAGTTAAATATCAAAATACCAATAAAATAATTGCTGTTGTAGTTACAAGCAATAATTACAAGACATCAATAATACAAAGGCCCAAAAAAATATGGATCTTCTAAATACTACTTTCTTGAGAAAGGAAAAGATAAATATTGTGCATAGTACCTTTCAATGAACTATTTGAGAGCTTACAAGCCAAAACCACCAAAGCAGGACGTATGCAGACATTAACCATTTGATTCCTGTAAGACGCACACATGAGAACAGAGGCTGCACTTTTGAATACAGGCTCCTTGTCTAGATTACCAGGTTTTTCATAATCAACCAAAATCACCTGCCCATCAACAATGTCCATAATGTTTGAATGGACTTCAAGGCTAGACCGAACTACTCTGTTGGAAGGTAGGTTATCTGAAAAACAAGTGAATAATTTAAGTGGTTTGCACATGAATAGAGACAGGACCTATTAAACTATTTAGATCATAAGAGCAATTAGGTTACAGTGACAAGTCAGATATATATATAAAAAAAAAAAATGAAAAAAATCTATAAAGTAAGGATGCTTTTAAAAGTAGAAATGTTAATAGTTTATTTTTCATCAATTAACAAAATGCAACATGACTGAACACAAGGAAAATCTAATTCAAATCAACATTTGGCGTGACACTGATTTGCCTTCAAAACAGCATCAATTCTTCTAAGTACACTTGCACAAAGTCAAGGGCATAATTAAACAATTATAACGAACAAGTGCCAATAATCATCCATTTAACCACTTAACGCCATTCCATGCCATCTGTATTATAATGGGCTATAAAGCCGTTGCTCTGTAACGGCTGTCATGCCCAGGAGCTCCTGCAAACTTACCTTGGCCGTGCTCCGCTTCGCGTGCCCAGGCAGTCCCCCTCTGTTGGATTAGCCCACTCCCAGGCCATGTGATTGCTCTCACAAATAGGAGTCTGTGGAGATGCCTGCAGAGGAACTGCCCGGGCTGTAATTCCATCCCAACTGTATTTTGAGATTATATATACACACACACCTTGACAAAGACCTGTTGGGTCGAAACGATCATTTTGAATCACATATAAATCTCGTTAAACAAAGCCTCTGAAGTGCTCTTTTCAACATCTCGTATATATACACATACACACAATAATTATTATTATTATTATTATTACTACTACTACTACAGGTATTTATATAGTACCAGCATAGTCCGTAGCGCTTTACAATATTATCAAAGGGGGAGATTTAACAATAAATGAGACAATTACAAAAACTTACAGGAACAATAGGTTGAAGAGGGCCCTGCTCAAACGAGCTTACAGTCTGTAGGAGGTGGGGGCGTAAAACACAACAGGACAAGAAGTAGCAATCAAACAAGATGGAGTGAAGCAGAGCTGGAAGAGAGAGTAGAGTGCTGCCCTTTAGGAGAGAGCAAGGGACAGGTATGTGAGGTAGAGGTTACTCTGTGAGGCCATACGCTTTCCTAAAGAGATGGGTTTTGAGGAACTTTTTAAAAGATTGAAGACTAGGGGAGAGCTTGATGGTCGTAGGCAGGCTATTCCAAAGGAAAGGAGACACCCGTGAGAAGTTCTGCAAGCGTGAGTTGGCCGTACGGGTGAGGGTAGCAGACAGGAGAAGGTCATGGGCAGAGCGAAGAGACCAAGAAGGGGCATACCTGTGGATCAGTGAAGAGATATAGGAGGGGCTAGAATTGGTCAGTGCTTTATAGGTGTGGATTAGTACCTTGAATTGACTCCTATAGGATACAGGAAGCCAATGTAAGGACTGACAGAGGGGAGAGGTGTGAAAGGAGCGACAGAAAAGGAAAATCAGTCTAGCTGGAGCATTCATTACAGACTGTAGCAGGACAATACAACTTCGTGGAAGACCTATTAGGAGAGTTACAATAATCCACGCGAGGTAAAGACAAGTCTTTCCAGAAGCTTTGAGGAAAAAGGGAGCAGGGAATTGGGACGATATCTAGAAGGGGAGGACGGGTCAAGAGATGTATTTATTAAGATAGGTACTACAGTAGCATGTTTCAGGGCAGCAGGGACAACACCAGAAGAGAGAAAGCAGTTGAAGATGTGGGTTAAGGAAGGCACAAGACAAGAAGAGAGAGATCTGATGAGGTGAGACGGGACAGGATCAAGCAGGCAACTGGTGCGGCGAGAGGAAAGGAGAAGCACAGCCACCTCTTGTCCAGTAACCGGGGAGAAAGTGTGAAGGGTAGGAAAGGCATAAGAAAGAGAGAGGCACGGTGGGGAGAATTCTTTCCTAAGTTGTTCAATCTTGTTGGTAAAGTAGCATGCACAGATATCGGCTGTAAGGTTAGTTTGGGGGAGTGGCCACAGCAGGGCAAAGAAGGGAGTTAAAGGTATTAATAAGACGCCTGGGATTGTGGAAGCATGAGCTAATGAGGGAGGAAAAGTATAACTGTTTGGCAAGGGCTGTGCTGTATGAACGCAAAATGAATTTGTAGCGAAGGAAGTCTGACTGGGTGCGTGACTTCCTCCAGCAGCATTCAGCAGAACGAAGCATCTCTACAGGTAGAGTGTTAATTTATTGTGCCACGGTATTTAAATTCTATGCATAGATGTATGTAATCTTTTTACACAATTATGTGATTTTATTAATTACAATTTGAGGGACCTGCCTAAATTCCAAATAATTTAATTTGCAAGTCCTATTAATATTTAACCCTGTAACTTTCCAATACACCATAAAACCTGTACATGGGGGGAACTGTAGTACTCAGGAGAGTTCATTGAACCCAGATATTAGTGCGTCAAAACCGTAAAATGTATCAAAACAATGATATAATCCAAAAGCGCAGTTTTTGATTGAAAAATGCTAAAATCAAATGAGAATGCTAACTTTGGCCGGCATTTGTGACTAAGTTGCTACTGAAAAAAACTGGACATACCCCATTTTAAATACCCTGGGTTGTTTACTTTTTAAATGGTATGCCATGATGGGGGTAATTCTCATTCATGTCTCAGAATGCTGATCTCAGTTGAAAAGCTGTTTATTTGTGAAAATTGCAAAAATACAAAACTGAACAAGATTTTGGCCAGTATTTGTGTCTAAGTGGCTACTAAAAAAAGACTGGACATAGCACATTTTGTATACCCTGGGTTGTCAACTTTTTCAAGTGCTATGTCATGATGGAGTAAAAAAAATCCATTCATGAGCTACCATGCGGTCTCAAAGGCAACATAGGCCCAGCAATTCAATCTGTCAAATTTTAATGTGTAAAAGCTGTAAATGGGGAAAGCCCTATATTTTACCATGCAACTTTCCAACACCCCATAAACCTGTACATGTGAGGTACTGTTGTACTCGTGAGACATTGCTGAACACAAATATGTGTATTTTGTTGCTATAAAAATTTAAATTATGCTATTCAAAGTTAAAATGTCATGCAGAACTGTGACTAAGTGACTACTAAAAAAGACTAACTATACACCATTTGCAAATGGTAAGCCATCATGGGGGTAATTCTCATTCCTGGGCTACCATATGGTCTCAAAGGCAACGTAACCAATCTGGCGAATTTCAATGTGAAAAAACTGAAAAATGTAACATGCATTTAACCCTGTAACTTCCCAAAACACCATAAAACCTGTACATAGGGGGTACTGTTTTACACGTGAGACATCGCTGAATACAAATATGTGTATTTTATTGCAGTAAAAGCAAACAACATTATGACATTCACAGTTAAAATATCAGGAAGACGGGGGGCGGGGCCAAGCCAGCAAGCTACGCAGTCGCATGGAAGCTGGGCTCCCGCTCAAATTGCCGATTATTCATAAATACCCGCGGAATCCGAGACATAAAATAAATCGGAGAGCACTACCTACATTAGGGGTGACCCGGTGACAAGCTTGATATACCCCACGAGCGTATTGGAGATCGGAAACCTACGGTGGTCTGACGCGGCCTACAGAAGATGGAACCGGGGAGAGGCGGCCGCTCTCCTCGCCCACATGCTGAGGGCACAGACCCACAGAAGCCCTGCTCCCCACCCCCCAAGACCGGCGGTGGTTATTCCGGTCAAGTCCCGAGAGGCAACCCTCCTGCACAAGCCCCGAAAGTGGAACCCAGCGGCAGAAGCAGAGCCAGGCAAAATGGCTGACACCTCGTGCGCCCAAACCATGGAGGGGACCGACCTCTTGGCTAAAGTCGACGACCTACTCGACAAGTTCTGGCGAACACAAGAATCCAGGGTACAAATGGCTAAAACAAGCAAACCAGGCATACACTTACCCATAGCAATGCTGACGACTCATCAACATGGGGGTGCACCTTCCCGGGCATACAGAGTCCGCACACGGCGCCGAAAAACAACTAGGCGAAAGGCTGGCAAATTCACGTGCATGACAACGCCAATGGTGGGGCTCCGCCGCAACAATCATCCAGAACCAGCCAACTTTCCGGCAAGACAAGACAAGGTGAACCTGCAGGGCATACACCAGACCTCAGGATCAACCCGCGCCCGTCAGCAAATTCACAGGCGGATCTTGCACAACAGGAACCATAACAGGGCCTTGAAGGCGGCAATATGACGAGGAATGGAAAACTGGGACACAGCCTCCGTTTGAGATCCTGACAGCAAGCGTGGGGGTAGGGTAACACCTACGAACAAGCCTGGGTGCATCGAGGGTATAATGAATTTGTCGCTGTCCTAACTCAAAAACCGGTCATGTATGTCCCAATAAGATGTGCCTAGAGATTTCCTCCCCATTTACCCTCTAGTCGCTAACCACCACCACTGTCACTCTCTCAGTAACTTAAGCAAGAGACACAGGCAACACACAAGCAGTTAGTCTGTCAGCCTATTAGCCTGTCCCAGTGCCCCAGCCACCTCACCTCACAAAGGACAGGCTGACCTACAATAAGACACCTACTCATGCCACTCATGGCATTATCGTTATTTTTATTTTTTTGCTATGATATTATTTGCCATGTTTAGCATACTAGCTAGTACCTGATGCCATAGCAATACGTGACACCTGCAACATATAGTACCTAGACTGTTTACTTTACTAAGCTTGCTCTTTAAACAGTCAGTGCGATCAGTAATTGTTCTCATGTAAGAGTGGAACCTAACCTGTGTTAATCTGTTTAACAATAGCTGTATGTTTAAGCCTGTAACCATACCAATCTGTAATTATTCTTGCCAAGAATTGCCAAGAGTGTAGACCGAGCCTGTGGAAAATTATACTGCACGTTAAGTAGGTCGCTCTAGCATACAAGCGTGGCTTACCTCCCTTGATATACCTTTTACTAACGGAACATTGATCAGCCTGGTAACTTTTACTGTTTAAAACTCAACTCGTTCCATATTCTGACTCTCAAAACAAAAAATGTGCAAAGTTTCAAACTGCCATACCAATGTTAAGCTATGTCTATATATTTGCATGCACTAGCTATTGTGGCAGTGCAAACATGTGTGTCCTCTCTATGCACACTTAAAATAAAGATTTTTTTAAAAAACAATACCAGGAAGAACAAAAAAAAAAAACACATTTCTTAATTTCTCACTTTTTTTTTTTTTTAGTTCTTCCTAATTCTTGGGGAAGTAATTCATGCATGCTACCCTGGGTGGCCGCAATTTCGTATAGACGAATGTCAACCATGGGGAGCATTCTGTGGCAGAAATGCCTCTGCCACATGTTCTTGGAAGGGCCTGCATGCCAGCCTCCTGCCTATGGCCCCCTGCCATATACATGGCTAAAATACTTTAAAAAGGCTCTGTTCGTGCAATTGAGCTTATGTGGTTCGGTTCCCGAACAACCGCACGAACCAGAGACCACTGGGGAGCTTGTTAAGCTGAATTGAGAGTTTCTAACACTTTCCACCAAAGTGTTCATCTTGGTGGACGCTGTTCGCATGAACTACCACAAGGTGGCGGCCATCTCGTTCCCGCACAGGCAGTGGTGTTTGGTCGTCAAGTTCATGGAACGGTTTCAGACACTGAAACTCCCGAACACCGTCCCCTTAGCCGCCACAGCTTGGCTGGGGTCTCGCCGTCCCTTCTCACCCTGGACCAAACTTCTCCCCGACTTCCCTCAGCGAGTGCCACGCACACATTAGGCCTCCACACAGGTAAGCATTAAATCAATGCTTTCTAATGGGGAACTAGCGGACGTTGGATGTCCTCATGCAGAGCGTGATAACGTCCAGTGCCAGTTAGCAGACCAAAAGTCCATTAACATCCAGGAAGCGCCTTTATTGACTGTCTGGTAGACAGTCACTGGAGGCAGACTTAGAGCTGCAATGTAAACATTACAGTTTTTCTGGAACTGCATTGTTTTAAATTGCAGCACTAAATGCAATAGGGACACTGCACCCAGACCATTTCAATGAGTTGAAGGGGTCTGTGTGCCTATGGTGTCCCTGTAAGTTCTGATTAATGTTAATACCTGCGACAGCTAAACAGCATATGCCATAAACCCCTTTGTTCCTATAAACATAAAATAAATCTATTTGGTTGATGCATTCCAAGATAATGCTGGAAATTTTAAATTGTGTGCAGGTAAATAAACATGCTGCCCTGACAAATCTGGACAGTATAAGCAAGATGTTAGATCAAGCAACAGAACCAAACTTGGTACTTAGCACAAAAGTTGCTCAATTGTAGTAAACTACTGAAGGCTGGATTTCCTCATAATGAGAAAACGCATGCTCACTGAAAAAAATTCTTATAACCTATATAATTTAGAGAATGTAATTGTTGTGGTTTCCAGAAACCCGTTTAAGGGAGACTACAGATAGAAAGTGACCCTTAAAAATAAATAAATACATACATACTAACATTGTGCCATTGCGGTGTTTCCAGCAAGCTCTGTGCATGCAAGTAACTGGCTTAGCCGACTGATCCTAAACTTACATATGGAATTAGGAGCTGGCAAAAAAAAATAAAAAATTGAGTACTGTAACGGATCACCTGGCACCCCGACTGGGTACCTCCGTTGAAGGATGCTCCTAGCGCTTCCTGAGGACTCCAAGCACTGCAGCCGACACCAAAACCACCGAACCGTAGGAGCATTTGAATGCTCTCAAGCATCTGAATGTTGTATACAGCAACCATGCGAATAGGTTTACACTCCTAGCAGTCAAACTGGAACAGCATACCATAAATCCTCCCCCAATAATGAGATGACACTTCACTTTGAGGGTTAAGCAGGAACTCCCTGTACTGTCACATACAGTCTCTTTTATTCCCAATCCACAAACATAGTACAGCCCACAGGGCGTTACAAAACAACCAATCAATCCGTACAATACACCCAGACACTCCCACACAAAATCCTCCCATCTGCCTGTGATATGATTACTGAACACAATGGGTAATCTCATTATCACCAGCAGAGGAATACAGTTTTTACACAATATTTATAACTTCTAAAATATACATGTCACAAACATAAAACATACATTTTCATAATCAATCCATTCAGGGGAACAACATCTTAAAAAATGGCACGAATCAGATCAGGGGTTCAAAAGTTAAGGGAAAGTCCTTTGTGACTAAATGAAGCATGGCTTTCCGGCCCAAACCAGTTTCAGAGTCTTCTATCCTGGAGATTGAATTGAGAAGTAATTCAATTATCTCCCAGGACAGACACAAGACTCCATTATGCACATGGTGAGCACAAAGCATTAAAATATTATAAAATACACAAAGTCACATTTTATACATAAAACACAGACATGTCACATATCCCCAGATAGCTGGGATCTGAGCGCACAAAACTACCGAATAGCGCTCAGATCCTATTCACACAGTTCAATTGCCATGGAGCCAAAGTCTTTAACTACACGAATGGGCTCCATGGCATAGCTATCTGGGTTAATACATTCACATAAAGTCTGGTCCATAGTCCAAAGGCAAGAGGCGGGCAAGCAGCCCCCTCCAAGGACACGTGGCGAGGCCGGTTTCGCCACAAGTACTCACTAAAATCACTGAGAACTGATAAGGCAAATATCTGAAACAATTATAAAGTAGTAATGTGACAATTAATCTGATGTACCAATTAGGGGTGCATCGAAATTTCGGCTGCCGAAATTGGGCCTATCCCGTTTCGGCCTAAAATGGGTCAAATTTGCCGAATTTTAAAAATATATTATATATATAATTTTTTAAATTTTTTTGGGGACAGGGGGAGAAAGAACACTCTGGGACAGGGGAGGTGGGGGAAGAACAATATGGGACAGGGGAGGGGAGAACAATATGGGACATGGGAGGGGAGAACAATATGGGACAGGGGAGGGGAGAACAATATGGGACATGGGAGGGGAGAACAATATGGGACAGGGGAGGGGAGAACAATATGGGACAGGGGAATGGAGGAAAGAACAATATGGGGCAGGGGAGGAGGGGGAGAACAATATGGGGCAGGGGAGGGGGGGGGAAGAAACACTATGGGACAGGGGAGGGGGGGAAGAACACTATAGGACAGGGGAGGGAGGGAGAATACTATGGGACAGGCAAGGGGGGACAACACTATGGGACAGGAGAGGGGGGGAGAACACTATGGGATGGGGAAAAAAACACTGGGATAGGGGAGGGGAGAAAAGAACACTATGGAACTGGAGAGGAGGGGGGAAAGAACACTAAAAAATAAGGAGGGGAGAGAGGAACATTAAGCAGGGGGGTACCACTAAAAGAGAAGTGAAGTTTTTCATATTAGATTAATTCAATTCATTAAAAAGTCTAATATTAAAAAACTTTTTTTAAATCACTTCTGGAAAAAAGTCATTTTCGGTTTTCGGCCAAGGGCATCCAGAATTTTCATTTCGGTGCACCCCTAGTACCAATAATACTAATTTCCACATGTGGGATTTAAATACTATAAAATAATTATATAAAATATAATTTACTTACCAGGCCAATCGAGACATCCTCCAAAGGACTCTGTTAAATCTTTAAGCCAAAGGGTCTTTTCAACTAAAACATTATAATTAACGACTGGCAGATTTTGTAGCAAAATAGTTGCTATTAAAACCCCAGGGCTCAGAACCATGTTGGCTATTTGGTGCAGTTCTATGTGATGGGCAATGTCCCTGACGAATGTAAGCATAGCCTCAGATGGACGCTGGGAAAGATGTCTGCAATTAAACAGTGATCAAATGAGAGTAATATTGTTAAATATAGGCAAATGTCAATTAGGTTTTCTTGGCACAGTTTGTAGATGTTTTGTGTATTTGTCAAAAAAAAAAAAAAAAGGTTTACATCATATAAAATGAAAATGAAAAGTTTGCATAAGATGGGTAGATTATACTGTGATATTTACAAAGAAAGCCTAAGTATGTCTACCAATATGAAATTACTGCAGACGAGCAAATGTTTCAAACAGAATACATACATACATACATACATACATACAGGTTTTCTCACCTGCAAGTTAACATACAGTGAAGGAAAAAAGTATTTGATCTTCTGCTGATTTTGAACGTTTCCCCACTGACAAAGAAATTATCCATCTATAATTTTAATGGTAGGTTTAACAGAGAGAGACAGAATAACAAAATATTCCAGAAAAACCTATGTCAAAAAAGTTATAAATAGATTTGCATGTCAATAAGTGAAATAAGTATTTGACCCCTTCGATTTAGTACTTGGTGGCAAAACCCATGTTGGCAATCGCAGAGGTCAGATGTTTCTTGTAGTTGGCCACCAGGTTTGCACAAATCTCAGGAGGGATTTTGTCCCACTCCTCTTTGCAGATCCTCTCCAAGTTATTAAGGTTTCAAGGCTGACGTTTGGCAACTCGAACCTTCAGCTCCCTCCACAGATTTTCTATGGGATTAAGGTCTGGAGACTGGCTAGGCCTCTCCAGGACCTTGATGTGCTTCTTCTTGAGCCACTCCTCTGTTGCCTTGGCTGTGTTTAGGGTCATTTTCATGCTGGAATACCCATCCATGACCCCTTTTTAATTCCCTGGTTGAGTAAAGGAGGTTCTCACCCAAGATTTGACGGTACATGGCTCCGTCCATTGTATCTTTGATGCAGTGCAGTTGTCCTGTCCCCTTAGCAGAAAAGCACCCCCAAAGCATAATGTAACCTTCATGTTTGACGGTGGGGATGGTGTTCTTGGGGTCAAAGGCAGCATTCCTCCTTCTCCAAACACAGCGAGTTGAGTTGATGCCAAAGAGCTCGATTTTGGTCTCATCTGACCACAACACTTTCACCCAGTTCTAATCTGAATTATTCAGATGTTCATTGGCAAACTTCAGACGGGCCTGTACATGTGCTTTCTTGAGCAGGGGGACCTTGCGGGCGCCGAAGGATTTCAGTCCTTCATATGTAATGTGTTACCAATTGTTTTCTTGTTGTCTATGGTCCCAGCTGCCTTGAGATCATTAACAAGATCCTCCCGTGTAGCTCTGCACTGATTCCTCACCGTTTTCATAATCATTGAAACTCCGCAAGGGGAGATCTTGCATGGAGCACCAGACCGAGGTAGACTGACAGGTATTTTGTGTTTCTTCCATTTGCGAATAATCGCACCAACTGTTGTCACCTTCTCACCAAGCTGCTTGGCAATGGTCTTGTAGCCCATTGCAGCCTTGTGGTCTACAATCTTGTCCCGGACATCCTTGGACAGCTCTTTGGTCTTGGCCATGATGGAGAGTTTGGAATGGGATTGCTTGATTGATTGCTTCTGTAGACAGGTGTATTTTATACAGGTAAAGATCTTAGATTAGGAGCACTCTTTTAAAGGGAGTGCTCCTAATCTCAGCTTGTTGCCTGAATAAAAGACACCTGGGAGCCAGAAATCTTGTTGATTGATAGGGGATCAAATACTTATTTCACTCATTGACATGCAAATCAATTTACACCCTGTTCCAAATTATTATGCAAATTCTATTTAAGTGTCACAAAGATTAAATATTTTGTTTTTCAGTTTAACTCACGGATGGCATTGTGTCTCAGGGCTCTTTTGATCACTGAAAACAATCTCGGACACCTGTGATAATTAGATCGCCAGGTGAGCCCATTTTAAGGAAAAACTACTAAAGGAGGGTGTTCCACATTATTAAGCAGAGCACCATTTTCATGAAATATGGGGAAGAAAAAAGCATCTCTCTGCTGCCAAAAAGAGTGAAATAGTTCAATGTCTTGGACGAGGTATGAAAACATTAGATATTTCACAAAAACGTAAGCGTGAGCATCGCACTATTAAGAGATTTGTGGCTGATTCAGAGCACAGACGGGTTCGTGCAGATAAAGGCACATTGCGGAAGATTTCTGCCAGATCTATGCATTGGATCAAGAGAGCAGCTGCTAAAATACCATTACATAGCAGCAAACAGATATTTGAAGCGGCTGGTGCCTCTGGAGTCCCACGGACATCAAGGTGTAGAGTCCTCCAGAGTCTTGAACTGTGCATAAACCTTCTAGTCGGCCAACACTAACCAATACTCACAAGCAGAGATGGCTGCATTGGGCAGAAATATACATGAAGACTAATTTTCAAACTGTCCTGTTCACTGATGAGTGCCTTGCAACCCTGGATGGTCCAGATGGATAGAGTAGTGGATGGTTGGTGGACAGCCACCCTGTTCCAACAAGGCTGCGATGTCAGCAAGGCGGTGGTGGAGTCATGTTTTGGGCCAGAATCATGGGAAGAGAGCTGGTCGGCCCCTTTAGGGTCCCCGAATGTGTAAACATGACCTCTGCAAAGTATGTGGAGTTTCTGACTGACCACTTTCTTCCCTGGTGCAGAAGGAAGAACTATGCTTTCCGTTATAAATCATTTTCATGCATGACAATGCACCATCTCATGCTGCAAAGAACACCTCTGCATCAATGGCTGCTATGGGGATAAAAGGAGAGAAAGTCATGGTGTGGCCTCCATCCTCCCCTGACCTCAATCCTATTGAGAACCTTTGGAGCATCCTCAAGCAAAAGATCTATGAGGGTGGGAGGCAGTTTACATCCAAACAGCAGCTCTGGGAGGCTATTCTGACATCTTGCAAACAAATTAAAGCAGAAACTGTCCAAAAACTCACAAGTTCAATGGATGCAAGACTTGTGAAGCTGCTATCAAATAAGGAGTCCTATGTTAAAATGTCATGTGACCTGTTAAAATGTTTAAAAAGTTAAAATGTTGTTATAAGTTTGAATGAAATAGCTTTTGATTTCAGTAAATATGCTGCAAACACAACAAATGCTAATTTTCAGTTCTTTACAACCTATAAAGTGTTTTGAAACTTACTGTGCATAATAATTTGGAACAGTGCATTGTAAGTTTATGTTTAAAAAAAAAATACTATCATTAGCAGGTTTGTTCAATAAAATTTGAATTGTACTCTTAATAGTTGATAACATAAGAATTATGCCCTTATTTACATCAATTATTTAGGTAAATGAGAAAAATATCATTTGCATAATAATTTGGAACAAGGTGTATAACTTTTTTGACATGTGGTTTTATGGATTTTTTTTTTTTATTATTCTGTCTCTCACTGTTAAAATACACCTGCCATTAAAAATATAGACTGATCAGTTCTTTGTCAGTGGACAAACATTCAAAATCAGCAAGGGATCAAACCCTCCTGTAACTATATAGGAAGGTTTGTGTTAATAATTGAGAGTTATACTGGAGATTGTCATTGAAAAGTAGTATCTGGCATCCTGCTTTATTGAGTTTGATTCATTACCACATAATTATCATTATTATTATATATAAAGCATTCCAAAGAGCTGTAGAATAGTTGGATTAAAACATGTATTTGAAACAAGTTATGCTGGACGCACAGGAACAGAAGGTGTTGGGCCCCGCTCAAACAAGTTTACCCCACTCCCTCTAGAAAGTAAAGTGGCACAGTATGTAAAGGTAGGATGTAAATAATGTATGGATGGGAGGGGGAGAGAGGGAGTTAATAGGTTACTAGAATAGTTAACAATGAAGGATTCGTTTTTTGGATGACACAGTTGCATAATCAGCCACTGCACAAAAATATTTGGCTATACCGTGTTAAGCCAACGACTACGCCACAGTACCCTGATATCGGTGGTTCATACACTAATTTAAATTTAGGAGACAAATTAAATATTGCTAGCGCTAAATGAAGTGCATTTAATTAAGTTGTTAATATTGAGGCACTGTGGCACAGTGGTGGGCTTAACATAATATGGCAATATGCTAGAACTGATTCCCCATATTTGTTTGCTGAGATAGGTGATTTTAAGTAGCCTGTAATACTGTGTGTGCGCTGCAAGTTGCGAGGTTGCTCAATCGGATTAAGATCTGGGAAATTTGGAGGCCAAGGAAACACCTTAAAGGACCACTATAGGCACCCAGACCACTTCAGCTTGGTACAGCTAGGGTTAACCCCTTTTCTTTTCTTTTTTTTATAAACATAGCAGTTTTAGAGAAACTGCTATGTTTACACTGAGAGTTAATCCAGCCTCTAGTGGCTGTTCTCATTGACAGCCGCTAGGGGCGCTTGCTTGCTTCTCACTGTGAAAATCACAGTGAGAAGACGCCAGCGTCCATAGGAAAGCATTTTAAATGCTTTTCTATGAACTGACTGAATGCGCGCGCGGCTCCTGCCGCGCATGCGGATTCAGCCGATGACGTCGCTAGGAAGGAGGAGAGGAGGAGGAAAGCTCCACGCCCGGCGCTGGAGAAAGGTAAGATTTTAACCCCTTCCTCTCCCCAGAGCCCGGCGGAAGGGGGAGCCTGAGGGTGGATAGAGGTGGATAAGGGTCTTCATTGGGCACTCTGACCTGTCGGCAGATATGCAGCCCCATACACCATAAAGTGCGTTGCACGGTTTGTTCAGACACCTTTCGATCAGAACAAGCATTAAGTATTTTAGAAGTTTGAGCTACAGTAGCTCTTCTTTGTAATCGGACCAGACGGGCTAGTCTTCATTCCCTAAGTGCCTCAATGAGCCTTGGGCTCCCATGACATTTGTTCACACAAAACAAGACTTTTAATAATTATGTAGGGGTGGATGTAAAAAAAAAAAATACCCCTCTCTGTCTCATTAGAGATATCTTTGCCAGAAGCTCAAGGAAGCAAGGTGAAAGGTCAGTGTAGGACCCAGCTGATGGGGTTTGCCTTGACATGGCAGAAGGGCATTCCCTCCAATGCCCATTGGAGTAACTAAATAACCTCCATTTGTTTAAATATACACAGGGATTTGGGAGAGAGTGCAGGTAACTTTTTTCCCTTTGGTTTTTATTGTATGTATTGGGGCTGATGTGTACTATGGTCGTTGCTGCCGCCCAACAGTAGTGAGAGTTTGAGTCCAGGACTTTGTATTTTTTTTTTTGTATTTGCATCTACACAGAAATGCCATACAAGCACACACATACTTTATTATTCCTTCTGTTCAAAGGTTTAAATAATTTTACATGAGCTGCCTGGCAAGATTTGTAAATAAAAAAAAAAATAATAACTAGTGGGATGCCTTAAAAATCAGTAACACAACCAATAGCATTACATTGACTATAATAATTACGCAGTGTCCAGAGCCATTCAATAGCATACTTTTTCTATAATACACAAGTCACAGTAATGTATGTGTATATTTTTACACATTTATTTTATGTACATACACACACATTTGCACAAACAGTGCAAACTTCCATTGCACAACAATATACCTGGGAATTAGATTATATTGTGAACGATTTATTCTTCCTGACGTCAATGAGCGCAGTGACATAGGCTGTCCAAAGTAAACGTGAATGCTTCCAAAGTTGTCGTTAAGTAGTTTTCTGGCTTTTATCAAGCCCTGCAAAGCAAAAAAAAATAAAAATAAATGATGACACACCTCTGCTTTTAGACAAGAAATATATGTGATTTCTGAAGCATGCCTTACTGATGTTGATTCTTTGGGTTTGGGTACACCAAGGAGTTCATATGCATAGAGTGACTCTTCCAGTATCCTCTCATAACTGATGCTGACTGGGACCAGATATGTGTCAAACACTTCTCCTTTGAAGAAAGGCTCCATTGCAACATTTAGCAGACCTGAGAAAAATATGTGGTATTTCACCATGAAGTAAACTTATATATCGCTCATTTACTACACAATCTTATACACATGCATATTTTAAAAGAGCACGCTAAGCACCATGACCATCACATTTCAGTGTAGTGTTTATGATGCAAAGAGTATATGGGCACAATCCCATCCTTGGTAACCTTGACAATTTGGCATGTATCATTATAAAGTACTTTCAACCTGGCTGAAAGTGCTTGGTTATTATTATTATTATTAACTTAACTTGTGCCAATTTAGGCTTTAAAATATCATAAAGAGGTCAATTTAACAATAAAGTAGACAATTACAAAATGTCACAGAAAGACAATGGAACCTCGGTACTCGAACAATTCAGAAGTCAAACTAAAAGTTCGCGTAAAAAAAAAAAAAATGTCTCAGTACGCGATCGATCCTCGGTACCAAAACACATCACGTGGCATTCACAGAGGGACACAAGTGTGGGGAAGCATGGGATACAAGTAAAGGGATAGAGGGGAATATAGGGAGAGGAAAACCAGAGGGCAGAGGGACACAAGTAAAGGGTGAAGGGATATGGACAGAATTATTATGCAAGGAGAAAGAGCAAAATGGGAGGAGAAGGATACCAAAGGACAAAGGGACACGAGTAAGGGAAGAGGGACTATGGACATAAGGATACAAGCAGAGGAAAAAGGGGCATTAGATATTTTGAACCGGATACAGCCATTTTATATGCTTTTGTATGTAATGCCAGAAGAACAGTTACCTATCCCCATCCATGTAATTTTGGGGGTCTGGAACGGATTAAAACAAATTTATATTAATTCCTATGGGAAATGCTGATTCAGTTCTCGAACTCAAACAGCCTTCTGGAACAGATTAAGTTCACGTTCCGAGGTTCCACTGTAGGTTTAGAAGGACCCTGTTCAAAAAAGTTTACAATTTTCAGGATTAACCCACTTGTTGAAAAACACATTATCAAGAAGCATGAAATGGGTGAGCTATGGAGGTCAGTAAGACGCTTGTTTTTTCGCAAACTGTGCTGTATGTGTATGTAGATTAGAATGCCGCTTAGTTGCTTATCATTTTCTAAATTAAACAAACCACACATGATACATATCACAAGTCCATGCAATCAACCAAGTATATTTTGATTCTAATGTTAAAAATGATTCACAAAATTCAAAGTGGGTCCCAAGGTGATTTTAATAGGCAAAAAAGCATTGATCGTGTAAAAGCCCAGAATAAATGGTTTAATATCTGGAACCCGGATGTCAGATGAACAACAGAAGGGAGTAAAAATTTTACCGTTTTTATCCATCAGAAATAATTAAAAACAATGTAAATACAAAAAATCATGGGCAAAATAAAAGTACTGTTCTCCTGTCTCACAAGTTTCGTCTGGAATAGCGGCTCTTTCAATTGGTAAATTACGGATTAATTTTTTTTATTATTTCTGATGGTAATAAAAGGTAATATATTTACTCCCTCCTGTTGTTCAACGGATATCCGGGTTCTAGATATCTCTATTGATGTACAATGAAGACTCTAGGATGTTTGAATACATAATAAAAAAATTTAAAAAAAAAACACAAAACAAAAAACACATATATATATATATACATACACACACACACACACACACACACACACACGCGATAGGTTTATATTATTTTTATCTATGTTTTTCATTTTATTTTTTCATATGTATTTTCTTTTATTTTTTTACATTACATTTTTTATATTCTATATATTTTTCTCCTTATAAATTATTAGATTAGTAGTTAATGTTTTTGAGTTTAGATTGGGACTTAGATTTAGAAGGATGTGCTCCAAAAGAGTCAAAAGGAAAGCAGATGGTGGAACGCAACTGTCATGGCGCTGGAACGCAAACAGCGCCTTTGAACTTTCCAGTGCGAAAATCAGTTGGCTAACAGATGCCGGCTGTAACACGAACATGGCCGTTCCAGTTACAGAGCTACAGAAAGCCAAAGCACCTATTGAAAGCTTCAGGATTGGACGACGCCTTCGGAAACACTTACTAGGAGGAGGGGATTAGCCCTATTTAAAGAGACTTTGGAGGGATAAGATTAGAATGCCTTTATTTGTGTTGAACTTTTAAATGTATTGATTGTCCCGGAGAAAGTCCACTTTGTGTGGAGGAAACGCGTTGGACAGCTTTTTACTTGTGACTATTTATATTCTTTTATGGGCTATTTTGTGCTGAAATAAAAATTTGATTTTTTTTTCCATCTGATCCTGACCATTGAATTTGATTTTCTGAGACATCATCGGTTCCTGGAAGCCAAGGGGAAGCAGATGGTTTTGCAGCCCTAATTCCCTGTGGGGAGATATTCAAGGCGCTTTTCCACTGACATCTTGTCAGTGCAATCAGTATCTCTCCTACATTGTTACTTCACAGTACATCTCTATGTGTTGTTAATTTGTTTTTTTGCAAGGACACAGATGTATCACATTTTTTGTATATTTATATATTGTGTTGAAAATGGGTTGCTATTTGTGAAAGCCCCTTGGGAAGCTGTACCTTGTCTCTCTATTATCTCTCATTCACATGTATTGTATTGGAAGCCACTGACAGAATACCCTTTGAAGAAAGGATGTCGTTTGCCACCTTAAAGGCACAAGAGGCTACAGAGTTTAGAGCCTATACCCTGAAAAGGCTCTAACATTGCAAGTTAATATTCTACACCATAAAATGTATTTTTTGTATTTATTTACATGTATCTACAATAGTTACAATTTTGAGGGTAAGTGCCTATGTTCACAATTAAGCAACGCACTTGCACTTTATATATTAGGTAGGGGTATATCACCTAAATATAAGGTGCATATTTGGTATATACTTTTCTAAAATTAACCTTGTTATAATCCCTGGCAGTCAGACACCCGGCCCTGTTACTTCCTAAATCAAGAGCAGGGAACAGATCAGAACACCAGCCTTTAAAATATTTCTCATTGAGCTGCATTAGGAAATCTGCAATTGGACAGCCTTTGTAAGCTATTTTTAGATTTACTCCATAATTTAATGCATCCAATGTTTTCACTTGAGGTATATTTACTAAAGTTATTTTTATTTATATTTTATTTGAGCAGTGGAGTGGCCTTTTAACTCAATTATTTATAATGCAGATGAGTTATAGAGTTTTACATTTACCCAAGAGTCTTGAAATATTGAGTGAGTATACAGTAGCTATTTATTCTTGCTGAATGGGAAAAAAATGCATTATAAGCAAATATTGGCAATGATAATGCAAGTAGTCTCTGTGTTAGAGAGGTAAAAATCACAGTACAATAATAAAATGTCAGCGAAATTGAACCTGTTTAATTGATCATTTTATTCAAGATTGTAACCTTTTGTTAAGTCATGATGTTACATACCAAGCTTTGGATTTAACGTCTTGCACGTTCTGCTTCTTTGACCTTCAACAAAGAATTCCACTGGAGCATATCCATTCTGCAAAAGGAAATTAAATAGTATTTTAAGCCAATAAAATCAATGATAAAATGTGTTTGAGTATACTTCTACACAACTAAGCAGCGTTGGTTTGGATTTGCCAACACAATATTGTGACCAAAAACAATTGCATGGGGCCACACATAATTTAGGTTTACTGCATAGGTCTCGGCGGCCAGATGTAGGCGGTCCACCTGGACGTAGTCTGTACCGAGGTGCAGGCAGCAAGTGCACGCACGCAGGCTTCAGAGGCCAAGGTCCATGAGCTCAAGCAAGAGATCAAGAGGTGAAAAACCAGATGCACAGCCTAATACACTCCCACACCACCCCGACACAGAAAGTAGATCTCGCCAAAGACCGCAAGAGACGCGCCAATAATAAACTTCGAGGTATCCCAGACACAATACGCCAGGCTGAACTGCCACATAATTTAAGACGGCTGACAGACACACTCCTACCTAATTCTCAGCCCCCCCCTCCCCCCCAAAAAAAATTCAGTTAGAGGGCTGTTACAGGATAAACAAGTCCCAACAGGCTCCGTCTGATGCCACCTGCGACGTAATTGTTCGCTACCACTCCGTGACAGACAGGAACCGCATTCTAGCAGCAGTGAAGGGCAAACCGCCACTGGACTTTGAGAACTCCAAATTGACATTTTTTTCATGACCTCACTAGGAATACCTTACAATTGCGGAGGTCCATGAGCTCAGTCACGAGACAATTACGGGAAGTCGGAGTGGAGTATCGATGGACTATCACATATAGTGTAACACCATAGGCAATTGGTCAGTGGACTATTATAGAAATGTTCCACTCACAATGGTAAGAGCACAGTATGGATAATCTCAGGTTACTTCAGCTTTAGTGAACTCTGGTGACACTCAACCTTTTCTTATGAAGTATAGAGGGTCCATTTCCTCATGAGGAAGAAGACCAAAAGGGGGAGACAGGGGGGCAGAGTCATCCCTAGTGCATTAAACTAAGTCACAGTTTACAACTGTAGTGCACAGTTTGCCTCTCACCTTTCAAGGTGCCTGGACCTGGCACCTAGTATATAGGTAGATGTATCAATTAAGGGAGATACAACCCTTCTTTATTCAGCAGCAGCAATAGTAGATTACATAGTTACATAGCTGAAAAGAGACATGCGTCCATCAAGTTCAGCCTTCCTCACAAATGTTGTTGCTGTTGATCCAAAAAAAATGCAAAAAACCTGGTCTGAAGCGTTTCCACTTTTGCCACAAACTAGGAAAAAATTCCTTCTTGACCCCAAAATAGCAGTCAGATGTCTCCTTGGATCAAGCAGCTAATACCCCACTAATTAGAAATTATATCCCTGTATGTTATGTTTTTGTAAGTATTTATCCAATTTCAGTTTAAACATCTGTATGGACTCTGACAAAACCACCTCTTCAGGCAGAGAATTCCATATCCTTATTGTTCTTACTGTAAAAAAAAAAACTTTTCTTTGTCTTAACTGAAATATCCTTTCTTCCAGCCTAAATGTGTGACCTCGTGTCCTATGTATAGCCCCGTTTATGAATAGATTTCCATTGTTTAAATAACCTTAAGTGTGCTTTGATTGATAAAGCCCCGCTCGTGGTTCCTCCAATCACATTGTGGCGCCCGACATCACTTGCGAGTTATTGTCGGCTTGTTACTTCTTCCATAAACTATCCTTGTATCCAGGAAGTTACAGGACGGCAGTCCATTACGTCATTTCCTCCTCTCGCTTGCCAAATAAAAAAGTCCTTGCTCTTTTTTAAATGGATAAGAATGAGAAGCAAACGGTGCACTACAGTTGGTTGGCTCTGCCCCTCTATATTTATACTTCATAAGAAAAGGTTGAGTGTCACCAGAGTACACTAAAGCTGAAGTGACCTGAGCCTATCCATACTGGGCTCTTACCTATGTAAGTATATTAGTTTTTATAATAACCCACTGACCAATTACCTACGGTGTTACACTATATGTGTTTTTTATTTATCTTTACAGTGTTGTCATTTTTCAACCCCTAGGGGTAAATGTTACACTACTTTTAGCACTACGCACATTTCTTACTATTGGTATATTTTTACCATTTAGTAATTCATTGTATATCAATCTATGCAGGCTTACATGGTCTCTTCACGGTTTTATTCTTTCACATCTGTAGTAGACTTTAGTAAGTGCACAAGTGTAATACATGGACACGGCCCTAGCAGGTGAAGCACCAGGAGCTGAACAGAGCCCCTCAGAAAGAAATGGCAGCAGCCACGAGGGACAGAATCAAGCAAGTAATACCTACCTACCTTTGCGGCACTCTGTGGCCACTGGACCCTAACCAGAATTGTAACTTTAAGTGGTCTTTAAAAAAAATATGCTAAATCCCCGAACATGACAGATCACTTTAAGTATGATTCAAAGGAAGTACCAGAGATATAAACACATTCAAATTACAAGAATTAAAGGAAATTGATAGATATAATGCATGTCCTTTGAGAAAATCAAAATGACTAATAAAATCCTTACATACTTTATTTTGGCAATTTGGGAAATAAGACCCCAATATTGTACTACATTTTTTAATTTAAAAAAACAAAACAAAACCAACATAAGCACATTCATTATTTGCTTTCACATACAAAATTGATCAGTAACAAACAAAAAATACAAATAATTAATAAATGCATAGTTACAGTGTCTAAATGTATTTAAACAAATTAGAGTACACATAGATCAAGTACAAACGACCATTGCTATGTACAATTTGAAAAAAAGTATAAAGCACAGTACACACTATTAAATGCCCTGTCTAGCATGAACAGTTATACTGACCCGCAAGATAGTCTTTACATATTCTGCAAATACTGCCCAGTATAGTTTGTTCCCTCGGAACGTGCGACGCATGAAGAAGGCTCCTGACATACGTAACAGTTCTCCAACAATTTTCATTCCCATGAAGTCTAAAACATTACAAAATTAAATTAACTATTTTATCAATCCACAAACACAAAAAAAAATAATAATAATAATAATAATAATAATAATAATGCAATAGAAAAAAAAAACATGCAAAAAAAAAACAAAACATTAACACTAAAAATTAAAAGAAAATTGGGAGATTTTCATTCTGGTCAATGAGGTTTGATCTTATTCCATAAATCCCAAAAGCATATGCAACATGTAGTTTATTCCCCAGGAAAAGAATCACTTATCAAAAAAGAAGATGGTAAACTAAACAGTCTAACTAAACAAATCATTAAACTGTAACTCTAAGATGTAATTTCACCTAGTCCACTGTTAGTGGGTGAGTAGAATGTGGAAGCATTTAGGCTACCATCAGACACAAGTAAGTAAAACGTTTCATTTTATACAGAGAGATATGTACATCAAAGTCAAAGTCTCATAATGAGGTAAATACATGCCCATTCCAGCAGCGATGACAGGAAGTGCCAAGTCATATGTGTACAAAATGTAGGACATCATCAAAAAGTCAATGTAGCTCCGATGGCTGGGCAAGAGGACAACAGGATGTTCCTGAATAGCTTGAGTAAGCTACAGGAGTAAATCAAAACATACATGTATAAAGAATGTGATTGGCTTAGTAAAAGACACATAAAGATGATCACAACAACTTTTAAAACAGGATGAAATCACCAGTTAGTCATAATTTGTAAATGGTATGCCAAGAGAAATACTTTAGGATTAATACTCCTAGAATTAGATTTCAAAAAATGAAAACAAACATAAAATAATATCAGTTTACACTAAAACCCTATTTCACTGAATTAAAACAAACATTCTTACGTTGTCTTTGCAGGTAAAGCAAAATATATGTGTGTACCTTATATGACAAGTACATTTTATTAACACTTTAAATTGTACACCTATTGTTTACCCACTAAAAATAGCTACATACTGTGCAAAAAAAAAAAAAAAAACATGCTTAGCAATAAGTAAACATTTCAAATGTGCAGTTTACATGCAGCACATGGAAATCAGCCATTCCTTAAATAAACTCTAAACAGACAGACAATCTCCTTGTGGCAAACTTACCCATTTAAGGGAGTTTGCTATGAGTTTTTGGAGGGGCCTGCTTGCCCGCCTCCTGCCCTGTGACTATGGCCCCTGGGATTGCCCGTTAAAAGTGTTACTTGGGCATAATGGATTTTATTGTGCGGCTTATGGCCTTTTAACTCCTATGCAAAGGATCTGTACTTCTAAACTGGCACTTCGGATGCAGCCGAAGTAGTCAAATTGGCCGCCATTCAACAAACGAACACCATTTTAATTCAGCCGAACGCGGTCAGCTGTGTTTTGTTGTCGAATTCATAGAACTAAAATCGGATACTCGACGGCACAAACATCGCTGAAGATTTACCTTCTTTGGAACTTCCCCATTCGAATGGAGGCGAACTGTGTTCGACAATTTGAACGCCACATTAACACTGCTATTTGCATGGACGGCACCCATTCATGCATTCGAATGACATTTATATTGGGATGAATAGACCGGCCGCACAGCCCAAATCTATGGAACTGTTTTGGGCATGAAAATGTGCGTGCGTGTGGTCGGTCAAAATATGACTTCCAGCTAACTCCCGAACGGCTGAACGGATTCAAATGATTTTTGGATATGTTTGTTCCCTATGTATGCTGATTCAGAAAATGTGATGTATAGTTTTAAAGTTATAGAAATTGGGTAAAATGTGTGTTTAAACTGTACGGTCAATTGTGTTACCTCTCAGGCTAAGGGGAGGGGATGTGTGGGATGTAACCAGTTAGCGATTGGATGGTTACTGATTGTCTCTTGGTGTCTCCCTTGCATGGGAGAATTGCATAAAAGCAGAGTATGTGTCATTAAACTGCAGTTCTACTTCACCCTCAATTTAGAGTCCTGTCTCTTATTGGGGGAATCTGCTACAAGGGATTGCTATGCTCCTCATACTTCTTTGCTATAATCACTACTAAGCTCTTTTAAGAGCTTGTTCCTGCGTTACTCTCTTGGAGTTTACCCACTGGAGGCTGGAGCCTTGTAGTAGTTCCAGGGTGGGTAGAAGACGGCGAGACCCCAACCAAGCTGCAACGATTCTGGAGGTCTGTGGTGGTTATGGTGTCTGGCGGAGTGCTTGGAGCCCTCGGGAAGCACTAAGAGCATCCATCAACAGAGGTACCCAGTCGGGGTGCCAGGTGATCCGTTACACCCCTCCTCTCTGCCTGTGAGATAATGGAGTCAGCTAACTTAATAACTCAATTATCTCCAGGCAGTAAAAACAGATTTTCCCCAAAACTTGGAACGTACCCTAAAACACAAAGTATCCCCATAAAAGTCCCATCCCCTGATAGCCCTGATCTGGGTGACCAACATATCCAAAAATCCCCCACATCAGTTCAGGGGTTTTTGAATTTTATGGAAGTCCCATTTGACCGACAGCACACGAGGCTCCTGCCCAGAAACAGTTCCATGAGTTTAGGCTGTACGGTCGGTCTATTTCAGAAAGTCATAAAAACGAATAAATGCATGAACGGAGCCCCCTGGCTCATAGTTACGATTGTTCCCCTGATTCGTGGGAACCAAACAGCGCTCTCCTGGCTGTTCGGGAAAAGAAAGCAGGCGTTCGTATTGTTTGACCGGTGTTCGGGAAGTCGAGTGTCCGATTTTAGTTCCAGACACTCGACAACCAAGTCCTGCTGCCTCCTTTCATGCGAACAAGATGGCCGCCATTTTCTCTTGCACGTGGCATTCGGCTATACGAACAGCAGCCACACAAGGAGATCGCTCAATAGACAGTTTTCTTTGAAGATAATGAGCCGGGGGTGGTCGGTGTTCGGTAGTTACAGCTACCGAACCAATAAAACATAAAAAGTCCCTAATGGCAATAAAAGTCTTGAATAACATGCTATTTTCTTCACAATAAGTGTTATTTTTTAAAAAAGTGGTTAAAAGTACTAAAAGTGATGCAACCCCTATAGAAACCATTAGCGATTCCTCCTCTTTTACATTTTTGCACCAATGTTTAGGAGAGAATACAAATCGCCAACGTGTTTCTTCTCTACTGTTCCAAATTCATTTTGGATAACATGTTTTCTTAAAGTGGCTCTAGCACTTTTTTAGCATTATTATTGTACTGGCATGTTTAAATATCATTAATGGGTAGCAAACACTTATTTACGACCTGCAGGTTTACAAAAGTTGAAAATGGGTGGAACCTTTTTCAAGCTCAATGTCATTTGTCAAATGCCATCAAGCTGTTACTCATCTAATTTCAGTGCCATGTCATCAATTGTTTGTGTGGATTCCTTATTCTAAACTATCAAAGAAAGACTGATGCAAGGATCTACAATCTGCCATCCACAAAAAAAATTATTTTATTTTATTTTAAAGTAAGTAGCACTGGTACCAGGGTCGCTAAACATTGGGAGGGGTCAGAAGGGCTCGAAAGAGGGATACATTGGCTGGTTTATGGGGAAGAATTTGGTGACAGAGCCACTTTATATAAACTGTTCCAGCATATTGTCAATATGGTAACCATACTCAGACCTGGTGTTCTCTAATTAAAGCATTATGTAGAGCTGCCAATATTTCAGTGTGGCTAATACTTACTCTATGTATACCTTCTTCATTCACACACACTTTCTGGAAAAGCCGTTTAAAGATCTTGCTCAAGCTCATGGCAAACAGTCTGACGGCTCCCATATGTAAATTGTGAGCCATTTCATCAAGGATTTCAGCAGCCTGCTCTTGGATAATTTCAGAAGACTCGCCAGATTCCAAAGATATCTACAAGGCAGCATTACAGTTGTTACAGACATATACTACATATGGATTAAACTTCCTTTATAGCTGGCTGTATATTATTATTATTTAAAAAAAAAAAAAAAAAAACACCACACAAGATTAAAATGAACAATGTAGGCAATCATAGTTACATAGTTACATAGCTGAAAAGAGACTTGCGTCCATCAAGTTCAGCCTTCCTCACATTTGTTTTTTGCTGTTGATCCAAAAGAAGGCAAAAAAACCCAGTTTGAAGCACAATTTTGCAACAAGCTAGGAAAAAAAATTCCTTCTTGACCCCAGAATGGCAGTCAGATTTATCCTTGGATCAAGCAGTTATTACCCTACATTGAAAGATTATATCCTTGAATATTCTGTTCTTGCAAGTATGCATCTAGTAGCCGTTTGAACATCTGTATGGACTCTGATAAAACCACTTCTTCAGGCAGAGAATTCCACATCCTGATTGTTCTTACAGTAAAAAAACCTTTCCTTTGCCTTAGACGAAATCTTCTTTCTTCCAGTCTAAACGCATGGCCTCGTGTCCTATGTAAAGTCCGGTTTGTGAATAGATTTCCACACAATGGTTTGTATTGGCCCCGAATATATTTGTATAATGTTATCATATCCCCTCTCAGGCGACGTTTTTCTAAACTAAATAGGTTTAAATTTGTTAACCTTTCTTCATAGCCGATATGTTCCATTCCTTTTATTAATTTTGTAGCCCGCCTCTGCACTTTTTCTAGTGCCATAATATCCTTCTTTAGAACAGGTGCCCAAAATTGCACAGCATATTCAATATGGGGTCTTACCAGTGATTTATAAAGAGGCAAAATTATATTCTTGTCCCGAGAATGAATGCCCTTTTTCATGCATGACAATACCTTACTGGCCTTGGCCACTGCTGATTGACATTGCACATTGTTGCATAGTTTGTGGTCTATAACAATTCCCAAGTCCTTTTCATGTGTTGTTATCCCTAATTCGCTTCCATTAAGGGTATACGTTGCTTGTGTATTCTTTACGCCGAAGTGCATAACTTTGCATTTTTCAACATTAAATTTCATCTGCCATTTGAGTGCCCAGTCCCCCAGTCTATCTAAATCCCTCTGCAGCAAAGTAATATCTTGCTCACATTGTATTGTTTTACAAAGTTTTGTGTCATCTGCAAACACTGAAACATGACTTTCAATGCGGTCTTCAAGATCATTTATAAACATGTTAAATAGAAGGGGTCCCAGAACAGACCCCTGAGGGACACCACTTGCCACCTCTGTCCAGCTTGAAAATTTACCATTAATGACAACTCTTTGTACTCTGTTTTTAAGCCAATGTTCTACCCAAGAACAAGCATTTTCATCTAGACCGATTTCCTTGAGTTTGAACACTAATCTATTGTGTGGAACTGTATCAAATGCCTTGGCAAAATCCAAATAGATCACATCCACGGCAACACCCTGATCTATACTTCTACTTACTTCTTCGTAGAACGCAATCAAGTTAGTTTGACATGACCTGTGCTTCATAAAACCATGCTGATTTTTGCTGATAACCATGTTCTTCTCAAGGAATTCTTGAATATTATCCCTTAATAAACTTTCAAATATTTTACCAGCCACAGAAGTTAAGCTCACAGGTCTATAATTTCCAGGCAAGGATTTTGAACCCTTTTTGAATATAGGAACCACATCTGCCTTCCTCCAATCCTCCGGAACACTTCCTGAAAGAAAAGAATCTTGAAAGATTAAAAACAGAGGTTCACTTATTTCTGCACTTAGTTCCTTAAGTACACGTGGATGGATACCGTCAGGCCCTGGAGCTTTGTTTATATTAACTTTCTTTAGTTGCTGCAGCACCTTGTCTTGAGTTAACCAATTACAATTATTCTGCAAGTTTTTAGTAGCAATCATTTGCACATCTATTGCCATGGGTTCTTCCTTAATATATACGGAGGAGAAAAAGTTATTTAAAATTCCTGCCTTTTCCTGGTCTTCATTAATTAACACCCCCGTTTCAGTTTTTAGTGTACCTACACTTTCATTTTGGGGTTTTTTAGAATTTATGTACTTAAAAAATGCTTTGGGGTTGGTTTTGCTCTCTTCAGCTATCATTATTTCATTTTGAAGTTTAGCAAGTCTAATTGCCTTTTTGCACGCATTATTTGCATCCTTATATCTTTTATAAGATGCATCTGATTTGTCCGATTTAAATGCTTTAAATGCCCTTCTCTTAGTTGTAATCTCTTGTTTTACTTCTCTACTAAGCCATGTTGGTTTTAATTTGTTTCGACTGACTGAAGTATATATGGTACCTGCCTGGAGTCCATTGGAACTGGGTTCCTATATTCCTATATGTGTATTTAGTTTTCAAAGTAAGATAAAAACAATAACTGTAAAATTTCCTTTTCTTCAAAATGTTCATTTTAAAAAAGAAAAGTATTACAATAAAAAGCCCAGTTTTGATCCACGTGTTTGGTTTCAGATCATAAAAAAGAGCTGCATCCCTCTGATATATAATTTAAATGTAAGCTTTGTTACATTGTTTTCTCCCACTTTGTCATTCATTCTATACTTCTACAACTTTAGAATGAATTAGAAAACAAAAACTAAAACAGTTACCCATCTATAAGTGAAGTCTAATACATACATTTTATATTTAGTTACTATAAAAAGGGACATTATAGACATTATTTTTTTTTTTTTTTATAAACTGCAATATTTACCTTGCAGGGTTAAGTCATCCTCTAGTGGCCATCTACCAGACAGCTACTAGAGGGACTTCCAACTTCTTAGACGACTTTTGGTCATCTAAACGACGCTGGACGTCCTCACGCTATGCATGAGGATCTCCAGCATCGCCGGAATCCCCATAGAAAAGCATTAAATAATGCTTTCCTATGGGAGGTGTAATGCGCCCGTGTTTCCATTGCCGCTCATGCGCATTAGGTCTCCACCGCCGACGTTCGCCGATGAGCTGACCCAGCGCTGAAGGACATCGGAGCTGGATTCAGGTGAGTGTCTGAAGGGGATTCAGGTAGGTGTCCCACCACGGGGCACGTTGTGGGAAGGAGGGGGGCTTTTTTTCCTTTTACAACAGTGAGCATTGTTTAGTAGACATGTCCCTACTCGCAGCATAGCTAGTAGGGGCAAAAGGGAGATGTTAATCTCCCTTACTTACTAACACTAAGTAGTTTTTACATAGTAGTAGTAAATTTAGCTGAAAGACCAATTTTGGTGTTTCAGCCTTTTAGTAGATAGCTCCCTAATACCGTTGGAATTCAGGAGCTATTTAGTAAGTGACTGCCAGATGCAGCTGCGGCACAAATAAGTACCAAATTGAGTCCTAACATGAATGGGCAAACTGTACTAATTCTGTTACGACAAAAATCTGTAGTTTTGCTTGCGACCTGTCTATATGACAGGACGTTCAGAAATTCTGAAAGGAGGTATCGCAAAATCACGGAGGAAAGGGTGCGTACTGTGGGAAAATTTCCTTGAGCACATGAAGTGGGTCAAAGTTGGTCAAGCGTAAAAAAAAAAAATAAGACAAAGCAGGGACTTTGTCCTATGTTTTAAAGAAAACTAGATCAGTTAGGAAGAAATGAAGAACAGATCCTCAGAGAGGAAGAGAAGAGGACGCAATTGGGGTAAGCCAAGTTCGGCATGACAGTGCCACTTTAAAACTTTATATTTGCTCTATGCAAATCAATTTAAACTCACCTGTTTGATAACATATTGCAGCTGACTGGATCCCAAGACAATAGATTTTATGGCACTTGGCTTACAAGGGGTAAGATTCTTGTAGATCACTGGTGTGTAACATTTCATAGCATAACATAGATCACTGGACTGCCGGCGCTCCTCTAGTATATCTTCAAAGACTTCTCTTTTCTTGCTTCTAAAGTCATTTTGCTGTGAATCACAATAGTGCAAACTGAAGTTTATCAACTTCATTAATGATAATGAAAAAAGTTGAACACATTGAAATTTAATCTTTTTTTCCTACTTAAAAGGTATACTAGCAGAAAAGATTTACATCTATCATTTATGTGGTCATGCAGGTTGGAGTAACCCTCTAAATATAGATTTAGCTTTTTAAAATGCATGCATCTTTACTGAGTGGTCAGTTCTAGCATTTACGTTGCCAAGAGTGCCCATTTAAAGGAACACTCTATTGTTAGAAACACAAACATGTATAGATCAATAACTCCCCACGCACACTTAAATAGTTAAATAAAAAGTTAAGCTTACCTTTAGTACCCCCGGCCGCTGCTCTTCCATTGGCTGAGATCATCACTACAGATGATCTCAGCAAATCCAATGCTTCCCCCATAGCGGCTACTGCGCGTTCTCAGCAATCTACACACTGCGTCATTCAATATCACCTCATAGAGATACGTCCCTATGGGGAATGTTTGGAGTCATCATGCACAGTGTAAAGACGCCACATGTCAGCTCTGTAAAAGACTGCAGGACCACTACAGGAAGCATTTTTAGCACCCCGGGGTGACATCCTCTAGAGGTGGTCTTAGACCACAATGTAAACACTTACTTTTCACAGAAAATGGAGTGTTTGCATTGCAGAGGAGACAAGGAAGTCTCTTTGCATACATTAAAGGGACACGGTAGGCACTGTATCTGCTTCATCTCATTAAACTGGTTATAGTGTATGGAGTCCCCTAGTGCCATCATTTCTTTCAGCATTAAACAGTTTTTAATGTTGTAATGCTAAACAAGAGACCACGGCAGTCCATCCCCTCTGTGCTGCTTTGGCTAATAAGGAAGTATTACCCTGAGCAGCAATGGGCAGCTGTGATTGGCTGAGAGTGTCAGCTAACTGCTTTTAACCTGTCAGAGCTCCAACTGACGGTATGAGTGGGTATGACAACAAGGAAGTGTGTAATCTCTGCCTTAGCTACACATACAGAAGGGGCCGGACTGTGGGTGGCCAGGGACTCTTATTTTGTGGCATACTGCACAAACGTGGTGCAACACTGAATGAAGGGACAGTACCAGGGCACTCCAGGCACTATAACTAATTCAAAGAGACAAAGTGGTTATAGTGACTACAGTGTCCCTTTAAGTAGTTATGCAGTAGTTCTGGTGTTTAGTTTCTTATGAAATAATTTTGCTCTATTATTATTATATCTAGAAACCAATTTGATTAATGGCGTTATAGCTATACCATGACAGCAGATGAGCGAACATTTGTTAAAATGTTATTGTCCGAAACTATTCTTAACTGAGAGGGGAGAGAGCGTTTACACAACTCTCAGAAACTCCGAACACAATGCCATGCTGCATGCAAATATGATATTAACATAGACTGAGATTTGATTCCTTATTGTAAAATAACCATGTATTTACAATATAACTGTGGAGTGGGATCACAAGCTGTCTCCCGGCAATACAGGCACACATGGTAACTCTTCATGTCAGAAGACGATCCTGCAATATGTCAACTTACTAAATACATTGTACCCATGGCTCCAGCCATCTCCTCTGACACCGCTTCCCGCCTTCCACTAGGAGTTAACTATAACAGGCATAACCAGCTAGGTCGCATGCAGCCACACACGAGCTCGGCTAAGTTTTCTATAGGAACTCAGGAAGAGGCGGAGATCACCGATACTGGCAGTAGGGAGCTCATGTTTGACAGCTACGGAAGCCTGAGAGGGATTGACTCGAGCTATAATCTATTTCCGGCCACTGTTTACGGAAGCCGCATAGTCCAAAGTAACATGTGGTTGAACGCTCTCACACCAACCCAATAGGATACGCACGGTTTTTCTTCAGAGCTGCTGCTGTTGAATGCTGAATCCTCAATCTTTCCAGTATGGAAGATACACAGGGATACGTCGAGGTCCAGGACCAGTTAAACTCCCTGCTTAGTGATCTGTATGATTTCGGTGAGTGGTAGCATTGTATAGATGCTCGGATACTGTATACACTTACGTTGGAGGGTTTATTCATTAAATGAACTGTATTTACTCCAGTTCAGTGAACTGTGCTGTGTAAAACTGATAGCAGTCACAATATAGTATACATTATCAGATTACACATATCCTAAGTGATGAGTGGAACTGATCTTGGGGGATAAATCTGCCCTCCCACAATCCTCTGATGGACAAAGTTCAGTGGATAAGAAAAATACAATACACCCAGAGATGCTCTTGAGGAAGACGGAGTCCAAACGTACTTTGGCATTAAAGGGAAACTAAAGGCTAGGAATACAAAGTTGGATCCCGAGCACTATAAGGCCCCCTCGCCCACGCCTCCCACCCACAGCGCAGAAAGGGATAAAACCCTTTTTTTTGTCACTTAGCTGATTCAGGGACCTAATGAACATGTGTGGCAAGCGACGCGCTCACATTAGGACAACCCTATAGGAAAGCATTGAATCAATGCTTTTTCTATGGGGTTTTAGCTGAAAAACCCCAAAAGTCGCCCAACAACTTTGATGCGCCTCTTGTGGCTGTCTGGTACACAGCCACTAGTGGTGGAATTATTGCAGTTTCTCAATAACTGCAATAATTACCATTGCAGGGTTAAACTGACAGGGACAGGTCACCCAGACTACTTCAATGAGCTTAAGTGGTCTGGGTGTCGATGGTGTCCCTTTAAAGTTTTACTCCAGTTTTATTTTTCACATATATGTTCAAACAGGGCAACAGTTAACAACTGTGTCAGGAAGACAGCCTCTAGAGGCTGGATTAACCCTGCAATGTAAACATAGCAGTTTCTCTGAAACTGCTATGTTTACATCCAAAGGGTTAAAACCTGGGTGGCCTAGCACCCAGACCACTTCATTGAGCTGAAGTGGTCTGGTTGACTATAGTGTCCCTTTAATAATCAACAAAGGCCCCCCTCATTGCCCCTCCTTACTTTCTACCCCTAAGCAATTCACTTGAATGGAAAGTGTGTGGGGCTTGGCTAAGTTTAATTGTGTTACTTGGCTGAGTTTGAATTGTGTGTGTGACTGGCTGAGTGTTATTGTATATGGAGTTTGAGTTTGGAGTGATTGCATTCACTTCCCCATGCTAACACTAACATGCTGGCTGCAGTGAATCCTATTCTTTGTCAACATGAACCTGCCACAGTGGCAGGGAGCAATAGGACTGACTGTCACTCAAAATATAGCATGTATGAATAGAATGTAATATACATTTGTTATATACACTTTAATATAATACACATTTATTAAAGGACCACTATAGTGCCAGGAAAACAAACTAGTTTTCTTGGCACTATAGGGTCTTTAGGTCCACCCCCCCCTCAGGGTCCCACTCCCGCTGGGCTGAAGGGGATAAACACTTACCTTTCTCCAAGCTTTGTGTGAAGAGTGTGTTCTATTCATTTCATTTTGCAAAAAATTCAGATCTCAATGGAAATTGACACTTTTATAAACTAACATGGTTATATCCACACAGACAACTGGTCCTGTTACTTCCTAATTTGGTTAGCGTAATGGAGCTAAACTAAAGAGGCAGCAATTGCCCAGAAGTTGCATTATGAAGTCTGTAATTGGACAGCCACAGAAAGTCTGAGCAGGTTAGATGGGGAGGTAGTAGCAACTTCTGCAAGCTGGTTTTAGATATACTTTACCTCAATGGAAAGAAAAACATAATTAAATGCATGCAAGTGTTCATCTGGGGTATATCTCCTAAACAATTATTTTTAAGTATATATTTTTCATTCTTTTCATGCACCCATTGACACTATTTAACCAACACACACTTTCACTGACACACACATCCTAACTGATGTCTGTAAATTGACACACACTCTTACTAACATTGGCACACAAAATGTTTAACCACCTAAGGACGGCCGCCCTTAGTAGGGATCGACCGATACTGACGGTCTGATGGAGATACCGATAATATGTCAACTTTCAGGCCGATAGCCGATAACTTACCAATATTCTGTATATTTGCCATTTTTTTTAAATAAACTGTTTCTACACAAATCTGTTAACAGAACATGTTTATTATTTATTTTTATTTTTTTTAAGGTAAATGCACAAAATATACATACCAGTCAAAATGTATGTTTTCAAGAATATATGTGTGTGTAATGGATGCAGTGAGAGTATTTGATTAGTGAATGCAGTGTTTGTGTAGTCTGTGTGTTTGTGTAGTGGATGCAGTGTGTGTATATAATGAATGCAGAGTGTTTGTGTAGTGTGTGTGTGTGTGTGTGTATAGTGATTGCAGTGTGTTTCTGTAGTGTGTGTGTGTAGAGTGAATGCAGTGTATTTTATAATGAATGCAGAGTGTGTGTGTGTGTGTGTGTGTTAGCGTTCAATTTAGTTTTTTGCATTTCTCACACACAACAAATGTGAACGCTAAATTTGGCCAGTGTTTTTGACTAAGTGGCTACTAAAAAAGACTGGACATACCCCATTTGTAATACCTTGGGTTGTCTACTTTTGCAAATGGTATGCCATCATGGGGGTAATTTTCATTCCTGGGCTGCCATTTGGTCTCAAAGGCAACATAACCAATCTGGCAAATTTTAATGTGTATAAACTGAAAAATGTAATGTGCTACATTTGACCCTGTAAGTTTCCAAAACACCATAAAACCTGTAGATTGGGGGCTCTGTTTTACTCGTGAGACATCATTGAATACAAATATGTGTACTTTATTACAGTAATGGCTAACAGTATTGTGACATTCACAGTTAAAATGCCATGCAAAACTAAAAAAACTTTTTCTCGTTTAAAAAAAAAATATTTTATTCATATTAAATTATGTTTAATATACAAATATTTGATGTGACATGAAAGCCCTGTTTCTCCTGAACAAAATGATATATGGTAAGTGTGGGTGCACATAATATGAAAGATATGAATTACGCCTGAACAGACAGAGCGCATATTCAAGGTGTTTACGTTTTGTTTTGATCATAACTTGTACATCTGCCTCAGTCCTTAAGGGTTAAACAACATATCTATTGACAGATAAACACACTCAGATGCACACTTCCTGACGGACACACAAACTCTCAGATACTCATACACCCACTGACCCATGTATGATATTTTCCTGCTCCCCCTTCACTCAGTAGTTGGCATAGTCGTTTATGTCTCATAACACCTCAGATATAATAGAACAGAAAATGTGAAATAGTACAGCAACTACAGAACACATATCTATAAATGAAACCTACCCAATATTGCTTTAATTTGTTTTTGTTTGCCATACAGTTTACAGAAACTTTAGAGAACTTCTATAAGTATTGTTTGGATGTACACACATTTAGTATGTTTTGTGGGTTTTTTTTTTGTTTGTTTTTTTTTTTATATTTCCATAAATGTGATTTTATTTTTATTAATTTTTTTGTGTGTATGTGTAAATATGTTTTTTGTTTTATTTATATTTGCAGGTGATGATTTTGTACACAGAGACAAGACAAAAACAAAGAGAGTTGCTGCTACTCAAAAACATAATTCCTTGAAAAAGACAGATGATGGTGTAAATGTTGGTGAACTTAATGAATGTCTTGCATCATCCAAATCACACTCCAAAAGCAAGACAAAGAATGCATTAATGTTTTTTAAAAGCATTAAGGATGAGCTACGTGATAAGATTGACCTTACAGATGCACCATCTGCGGAACCTAATGGGGTCTCTTGTTCTGAGCAAGGGGAACCCAATGTTGAAGTGGTGACTTTCAGTAGTTATCGAAAAAGGAAAAAAGCCAAAGAAGAAAGTAATGTTGAGCCACAGGAGGGTACTGAGGTAACAACATTCTAATCAAAATGTGATCATTTTGAGCAGCCAAAAAATATATATTCTATGTATACACACATTATTTCAGTCAGTGGACAAGTAACACACACACCCCTGTAACTTTTCACATGTGTATCTATATTTTACTTTCTTCTTGTAAAATGACTCTTAAAGTTCTGTCACACGAGATAAAGATAAACACAAACGACTGAGTTTCCTTTCTTTGGAAATAAGTCTGTTTACAGCTTCTTTAATAAAATAATGGATTTTTTTCCTTTTGTAGACCAGCTTGGAGGAGAAAGATACAGATGAAACCAGACACACGTTTAACTTGGAAAGGGTATGTTCTTTGCCATGTGTCTTTGTTTCTAGGGTTCTATATTTGTGTATATTTTTTTTTTCCCCTCTGTTTTGACTTGCTAGACCTCTGTGCAATGAGTTTCACATCCCAGAGAATTAATAGCACCAATTAGGTTCCAGCTAATTAACTAGTTAGACACCTAACTGATGCTAGAATATAACCATCAATACTTTAGAAAAAGAAATATCTTCTCTAGATTACAGTTGGTTTGAATATAAAAGTATCTAGTTTGTTTTCTGTATAGTCATGTTAATGGTTGCTTGTTTCTTTTAAAAATAAAAGGCACAGATAAGTTAAAATATAAGAGAGCGAAAAATTCTCCACTAGTAATTTTATGCATAAAATCATTTGAATGTTGAGTGCCTTCACTTTTTAACTATAGGGCTCTGTTAATATGTAGGTATTTATTATGATTATAAATAAACCTTTTTTTTTTTTTTCTTCCTGTAAATTGTGTGTGTGTATTTATTTATTTTGCATAGGCACGCTTGGAAGTTCACAAGTTTGGAATCACAGGATACAAGAAGGAAAAACAAAGACTGTTTGAAAAAGAGAGAGCAATTATGTTGGGAGCTAAGGTGAGACAATGTGACCTGGTTTGTTATTAAAGTGATTTTTACGTGTAATACAATCATACATGAATACGCACTAATGTGATAATTGTCAGGAATTCAAACGGAATTCCAGATTTGAGGCTAAAATAGCCAAACTGGAAAAATCTCGATCAGCATCTGACATTTGCAGCTCTGCAGAAGCTGTATGTCATTAAACCGCCTCTGAGGCTTGGCACCCTGGCGGAACCCAGGTAAGAGCCCCAAACCATTGCAAGATGGTTTTCTCTTTTACCTGGGAACGTTACCAGGGTATTGCTGGTATCATAACCACTACAGCAGGCTGTACTGATGTTGATGCTCAGAATAATCCTGTAAATATCAAGACTTTACTCAGAAGCTTGAAATTGCATTTTTGATAAATACACCATCTGTACATGGTTTATTAGGTATAACAAGTACTGAGAGCTTAAATGTATTTGAGAAAAAAATTTATAGTCTTCGGAAGGGTTGAATAGTAAGAAGTGAGTGACATGATGCCATGGGGAATGGAAACCGCAAAAGGAAATCATTCCAGCAATCAAGCTAAATGTAAATCTGTGTAGAACAGAGGTGTTTGTTTTTTTGTTTGTTTTTTTATTTACTGCCACTTAATATATTAAAGCAGATCTACATATTGAAAATTCTAAATTTTGTTTTCTTATTTCCAGCCACCAAAGAGAGAATATTTAAATTACAAAGTCTACCAAGAAAAAAGAGCAGCAAGGAAGGAAGATAGTACAATGGTTAGTTTCATACATGTTTCTGTTGTTGTATACATGCTATCCGACTGACTTAATAATTCCGAAATTGTCAAGAATCTACCAGGGAATTAAGGGTATTAAGTTGTGCCTTGCTTTTTAAATAAGTTATGGAGAAAACACATTACTGCTCAGTGGAAATTGACATTGGCATATAAAGACTTTTTATAAGTCACATTGGTTGTGATAGCGTGACAAAGTTTTGTGTGTTGCAAATAATTTTATGCTAAAATGACTGGCATTAAAATCAAAGGCTTTCAGGCATTTTATCATATCTAGAATAGCCGCTGTATTTTGAAATCCAGAGACTTATTAAGACCAGGGCTTAAAATTTCAAGCCAGACCTTAAAACGTACTTGCTAATGCAAGCACGGAGAGTCCATGGCATAATCCCCAAGTGTGAATTTTTTAATTGGGATAAATTCTTATTTGCCAATGGCTAGTGTCAAATTGAAATTTTGAGCATTTTTTTGCATGAATATAATAGGATTAAAGCTGATATCCCAGTGAGATCAGTTGAATAACCCCACCCCAATTAGTCACAATGTCCCTTATTTAATTTATTAACATTTTGCTCACTGAGCAATTCTATACTCATTTGGAAATTACTCAGAAATTTAGCCCTGAACAAATTGTGAGAATCTTCTTTAGACTATTACTGAAGCCCTCTGGACCATTTTGGCTGAATTCTCATGGTATCCAACATCAAGCTTATAAGATCCAGCTGGTTTGCAAAATGTAGAGGGGGGAAAAAAAATAAATAAATGTATATCCTTCAGAATTCCTTCAAATTTATTTTCATTAATGTTAGGGGAGTAAAGAAACAAAATTGCACTTTTAAGCACATTTTGAAATATTATTTGTAATATTTGTTTTACATTTTATTGCTTAATTTGTATAAGGTAATAGTCTCTAATAAGGTGTGTCCTGTAATCTAGGAAAATAATCTCGAGGCTTCAAGTAAAAAGCTGAAACGGGGACACGGAGAGAGGTGAGTTTCAAAGTTGCTAAGAATTGTGTGCATTTCAACTGATAATAACAAATGAATTGTCTTCTAATCTGCGCCCGAATTAATCAATCCATCCAGGATTTACCTGCGGAGTCTTATTCATGGTTATGAAACACTGTCCTAAAAAAAATTGAAAAAAGTTAGCTTTAAAAGTTAACCTTTATTTTTTTTATGCATGTTTTATAATCTTGGTTCATATGTAAAATGTTGTTTTTTTTTTTTGTTTTGTTTTTTTTTCAAATCCCAGGAAAACAAAAAAGGCCAAAAACTCAGGAGGAATTATACCAACAGGTCATGTCGGAAAATTTAAGAATGGGGCATTATTCCTAAGTGTTAAAGACATAAAGATGATTAAGCAATCCAAAGTCATTAAATGAAGACCGAATAAGAATATATTCTGCATTTTAAGCGCCAATATCAAAATTCTGTGATTGTCACACAATTAAGTTTGTATGATGCAAACCTGTGAAAGTTTGATGGTGCTTTTATATGTGCCCTGTTCTTTTTCAAGAAAAAAGATAGAAACGTAACAAAGGAACCCACATTCCAAAGTAGAAAGCTGGAAGCACAATGAGGTAGCCTTTTTATCCACTTCTTTCCCGCTACCTGGAATCTTTCAAGTTAAAGTTGGTTTTATTATATTTTGATTAAACAATATATACTATTTACACCCAGGTCATGTTTCAGATATTATGTATGTATTGTTAAGTTGAAATAAAACTAAAGATTTGAAATATATATATATATATATATATATATATATATATATATATATATATATATTTATTTATTCTTTTCTCTATCAATGGAATGTTTGTGGGCCCAGGACATACTTGAAAATCGGAGAAATCTTAATGTAGCCTTACTGTCAAAATATTTTATGAATAAATAAATATCTGTGGTTCACGAACATGTTGGTAGCTTCACATTCTTGAAGATTAGTGTTTCCCAAATGTTTTATGAAATTTTATTTCAAGATACCCAACATAAAAATTTATTTATGAGCGCATATGATTTGTAACGATATAACTAGGTATTCCATTTGATACCATTTATCAGTATTATCTATGGGCAATTACCATTTTGTGATGTCCTATATAGTTAAAGGATATTGTACAAACTAATGCAAATGGAGAAAGTTGCAGCGAAGGGAGGATAACTAAGTGGACAACAGGCCAATTTGATATGTAATATTAGATTCCACCTTTAAAAGTCTATTTCCTCTGATGTGGGTCCCAGATTTTAATTTATTTTATGTGTTTTATTTTTATGTGATTTACTAAAGGAACCACGTGATAAGGTCTAAAACATTTATTTTTTTTTAAACGCAATTCAGGTCCAGTCGCGACTATTTCCGCTTCTGCTCCGCCCCCTTGGCTGAGAACCAAAATTGATTATCTCAACTAATCCAAGACTTTAGCAAAACATCAACAAGCCATTGCGTATGAGTGGCAAAACACTGCACTGTGCCAATCAGCATCTTGTTATGAATAAATGCATCTCTATGAGGAATGTTTGGTGCCTCCATGCAGAGTGTGGAGACGCTGAATGTAGGTGCTGCTCCCTATCTCCTCTTAGCCAAAACTGCCATGCAGAGAATGCAAGGTGATCGTTCTCTGTCAATCAGCTAAGCCTTGCCCCACCATACTTAATTTAAAAGCTGAACACTTCAGGCTGAGAGGAGGCTGCAGTGGAGGCCTGTGGAAGCCAGAACAGTTCCCTCTCAAAGGGATTGGCCAATCCCTTCCTCACTGGTTAAAGCAGTGGTTCACAAAACTTTAGGTTCAAGGCACCCTTAATATTTCAATATTTTTCTAAGGCGCTCCAAGTTAAAAGAATTTCCTAGTTTGTATATATGTATATACTCCCTTGGAGTACAGCACCAGCTCCTGAAGTGTTAATTGCCTGTGGAATTCCCTTGCATCAACTCCTGTCTGCCTGCCTGCAACACTGATTCTACATTGATTAACCCCTGCAATGCTGATTCCATTTTGGTTAACCCCTGCAACGCTGTCCCAACTTTGATTTAAATACAGCTTCGGTCAAGTTTCTCTTCATTTATCAAGTGCTGGAACTTTGGTAAAAGGACTTTATTTTCCTTAACCCCATGAAGACCGATGATGGTTCAGGACAGTCATCGAAAAATACCCTTGGGAACCGAAGACGGTCCTGAACCTTCATAACGGTCTGGGGCTACTTACCTACCGGCGGCAATCAGCGCTCCTCCCGGTCCAGGGGGACTGCCTGTCTGCCCGGGCAGTCTCCCCTCGGCAGATCAGGACCCCGCGGCCATGTGATCACTCGATCACATGACCGCAATAGGTGTCTGTGTATCTGCCTGCAGAGGGACTGTCTGTGCTGACAGGCAGTCTCCCTGCAAGTGGAAAATCAGAAAAAGTTTAAAAATAAACATTACAAAAATAATAAAGTGGATTCAAAAACCTAGTGCCACCATAAGTGAGAAAAAGTGAACGCTAAGCTAAAGCCCGACGCGCGTTTCGGTGCTTCAAAAGCACCTTCGTCAGGGAATTCGGGTTTTTGAATCCACTTTATTATTTTTGTAATGTTTTATTGGCACTGATTATCTAATTGTATATTGGGGATTTACAGCTATACTCTATCTGTATTCTGCTCTACTAGCCAGGGACAGATTAGAACGCCCTCGAAGGCGTTTATTTTTAGGAGCAATAGGGACATTATAGAAATATATTTTTCCTTTCTTAGTGTTTACATACACCAATATGTCCTATTAGATTCTTGTAGCATCAGACTAAGCTCCTGTATAATTGTCTGTTGTAGCACTCTAGTCTTTTCAGATGAGTTTAAATCATTTTTCAGACTTAGTTACTGAGCACTTGCCTAACTAGTATTTGCAGTTGAGCCCTTGTAGTAGGCAGTATTTTCTAGCCTCTACTTATTGGGTCCTGTTGACTACCATTTGCAGGTATATTCCACAGTTATAATAGGGTCCTTGATTTATTTCCTATTATTATTGTTACCACTTTAGTCTACATTTATATAAATATATTTCTTGGTGGACCCTCTTTTTTGAATACCTAACTGCAGTACATTTGATCTTTTTGGCTAGTATATCCCCCTCCTAGTTTATCTGTAGATTTAACCAGTAAGATACTCTTGCCTTTATTTAGGGATTTTGCTGCTTTGTTTTTTGCAACTCAATAAAGCATTTGTGCATTTTATTTTTTTGCAGCATTCCCAGCTATCATTAGGGCTAGGGGCATAAGTTATGTATTGATATACAGTGTTAATTTGGGAATCTACTATTTATAGAATATTTCTCTATATACTGCTTTATTTAAAATCAATTTGGAGTCTCTTTTCTTAGATATATTTATTACATCACTAGTAAATACAATTGCAAGAAAAAGTATGTGAACCCTTTGGAATGATATGGATTTCTGCACAAATTGGTCATAAAATGTGATCTGATCATCATCTAAGTTACAACAATAGACAATCACAGTCTGCTTAACCCCTTCAGGACGGGTGACGGACGAGGTCCGTCACACAGGGGAGACCCTTAACGACGGGTGACGGACCTCGTCCGTCACGCGGTAAAATTAACCCCGGATCGCCGCTATCGCGGCGATCGCGGGGTTAATGGTGCTCCCGGTATGCCTCTGCATTGGAGGCATACCGGGAGCACCCGGTCAAGCTGCCCAGCACATGTGCTCGCTCTGACCACAAGTCTGAGCGAGCACATGTGCTCTGAATACTTACCTACCGGCTCCCTGCACTTCCGGGTTCTGTGTGAAGTGCAGGGAGCCGGATCAGTGCTGATCCTGCCCCCTGCTGAAAAAAAAATAAAGTTAATTTAAAGTGTCCCCCCCCTTACCCATTTTAATAAAAAATTAACCCCTTCCCTGCCAATTGATCACTGACTACAGTGATCAATTGGCAGGGATTACATTTTACTATGATCTGATTTTTTTTTTTAACCCCTGAGGGTTAATTCTTTTTTTTTTTAACCCTCAGGGGTTAAATTAATTAAATTAATTAATTAAATTATTTTTAAATTATATATTTAGATAGCTGGGGTAGGTGGAAGTTAGTGGGGAATTGGGGGATTTGGCGTTAGGCTAACTAGGGGTTAACGTTAAAAAAAAGTTTTAAAAGAAACTTTAAAAAGTTAAAAATTAAGCTTAAAAAAATGTTTTAATAACATTTAAGTAATAAAAACAAAAAAACACACTTTACCTAGTCCAAATAAAAATTAACCCCTTCCCTGCCAGTCGATCACTGCCTACAGCGATCAAATAGAGATCACAGTATTATACTGTGATCTAATTTTTTTTAACCCCTGAGGATTAACTTTTATTTATTTTTTTAACCCTCAGGGGTTCAATTTATTTAATTAATTAATTTAAATATTTTATAACTATATATTTTGCTAGCTGGGGAGGGTGGGAGTTATGGGAAAATGGGGAATTTACTGTTAGTGCTGCGTACTGCTAGTTAGGGGTTAACAGTAAAAAAAATAGCTTAGAAAAATGTTAAATCTGTAAAAAAGTTTTAAGAAAGTTTAGGAAAGTTTAAAAAAAATTTATAAGCAAAACAAAAGTTTAAAAACTAGTTTTTAAAAGTAAAAAAGTTATAAAAAGTAAAAAAATACATTTTAAAAACGCTCATTACCACTACACCTGGAACAAACTAGAGAAAAAATTATCCCACGCCAAGGTTCAAAATATGCCTTTTGAATTACCCCAGGGTGTATTCTTTAATAAATAGTATGTGTTTGTGGGGAAGTTTCAATAACCAACCGTCTAAACTATTCCAAATTGGAACATGGACACAGCGTAAAACTTCAAAGTTAGAAAAAAACTGAATGGCTGCGTCTCAAATGCGCCCCTTCAACATCCACATATACCTGGCAAAGGTACATACGGGGGTATTGCTGTACTCAGCCGACATAGCTGAGCAACATATGAAGTATTATACAGTCATAGCACACATAAGGTTTGCAAAATATGCTGCGCAAACTCACTTTGTATGTCAAAAAGGCAGAAAAAATGCTTATTACCACTACACTTGGTACAAGCTAGCGGAAAAATGATCCCACGCTAAGGTTCAAAATATGCCTTTTGAAATACCCTGGGATGTCTTCTTTAAGAAATGGTATGGCTTTATGGGGAATTTGGATTATATAGCCTGGTAAAATACTCTAAAATGGGACATAGGCACAGCATAAAAATTCAAAGTTTGAAAAAAACTGGAATGGCTGTGTCCCAAATGTGCCCCTCCGATGTCCACACATACCTGGCAAAGGTACATACGGGGGTATTGCTGTACTCAGCCGACATAGCTGAGCAACATATGAAGTATTATACAGTCGTAGCACACATAAGGTTTGCAAAATATACTGTGCAAACTCACTTTGTATGTCAAAAAGGCAGAAAAAACGCTTATTACCACTACATCTGGTACAAGCTAGCGGAAAAATGATCCCACGCTAAGGTTCAAACTATACCTTTTGAAACACCCTGGGGTGTCTACTTTAAGAAATAGTAGGCCTTTGTGGGGTAGATTGAATTTAAAACCTGCGAAGATGCTTGGAAATTGCACATAGGCCCAGCGTCAAAATTCAAAGTTTGGTAAAAACGGATATGGCTTAGTCTTCTATATGGCACTGTAGCTTCACAAAATAGTGACAAAGACATTCATTGGGGGTGTATTTTTACTCAAAAGA